GTCAAATGAAGAGGCAATCACCTTCGTGAACAATTATTTTGCAGAGAAAAACGCCGAGTACTATTTCGACGGGTTACAGAGATGGGAGCATCGCTGGGAGAAGTGTGTAGATTTACAAGGAGACTATGTTGAAAAATAAAAAACAATTTTCAGAAAAAATGACTTGTATCTTTGTTAGGTCGGAAACTTTTCAGACCACCCTCGTACATCTGCGAGATGTAACGTGTAACGGAATGATCATCCCGCGACTCACACGCCGTGCGCGCGCGCGCGCGCGCACACACACACACACATTTGTCAGTCGTCAAACAGGTTAATATTCGTTGCCCGTTCTCCTCGTCACGCATGTTCAAATGCCGGGCGTATAATTAATCCTTGAAGTACGAGCTCGTGTCGCATCATTGACAACGTCGCGCGTTTATAATGCGCTTGAAGTGCACACCGACCACGATACTCGCTTCGCTCGTGTGCAAATTATACTTTACAAACTAGCGTCGCGGTGGAAAAATAGAATGCGATTGTGAGGTTGATTAATGCTTGATGTGAATCTGACGGGAACAAAGTAGAGAGCGTCGCGTCTCGCGATCGTATGCGACACGATTTCTCGCTCCCCGAGAGCGAGTCCGAAAGCGCACTCTCTCTCTTTTCTCTGTTTTCCTTTAGCGCGTGATAAGATCTCGCAAATTTCGTGGCGAATCTATTATGAAGTTCGCCAGCTATCGAAGTCGCGATTACAAAATTCGATACGACGTGCTTATATTTAAACGAGACTTCCCGAAAATTCGCCTCGAATCGAGTTATTAAACTTAATAACTCGATATACGACTTAATGTCCCGATATTACGCAAAACGCTGCATTATGTTTGTAATTATGCGTCCCACAGTGCGCGGGGGCTTATTTTACATGTTGTTTTTTTCCATCGATTTCGGTCGGGCTAGCTCTCTCTCTTTCTTTCTTGCGTCTATATTGTACGTAAATGACGGTCGGATAAAAACACGGTAGCGCGAGCCAACTCGAACATTAAGTCGAAATATATAATATATGGAGGTGCAATTTTTTTCTCGTCCTGGCGATCGGTCGAATTCGCCTCGGGGTCCGTTTAAAGGATCCGAACTCGCATTTCGCACCCGTATGGAATCGACGAGCGGCAGTTTCGTAACTATGTAACAAGGACTGCCTTCCACGAAAATGGCAGGGAAGCTCTCTTCGCTCTCTCTTTTTTTCTTCCTTTCTTTCTTTCTCGCTCTCTATCTCTCTTTCAATCGAGGCAGAGCTCGATGCGGCGGTTTTATCGAATTTTTATTCTTTTTCCGCGTGATCGGGGCCGTATCTTTTTCCGGCATCGACGCGACAAGGGTGGATCGGATCGGGACGGCTTCAATTAAAGCGGAATGCGATGAAGTTCGAGTCGATCTCGAAGGAAGTTTGCCTCGGTTGATAAAGGCGATTCCCCAGCGAATGCTTACTAATTAGATAAGCGCCGCTAAACTCCGTGAGTCTTCGTCACGTCCTTTCGACGCGGTTCCCGGCTCGCGGCTCGCGTCCGAGGTGGATCTTACCGAAGTAAATCTGATTTTGTCATCGTGCTGTAGTGTGTGGAGAATTGTCTGGCGTCGAATTACACGAAACCCGGATACTGCCCGGAGAGAACGTTTATGACGCCCTTCGAAGCCGCCTGTTTGGTCGCCTGCATCGATGACTCTCGTTGCCCGGATTTGGCCAAGTGTTGCAGCCACGATTGCGGTGTCACATGCATGCATCCTGTCGGTTTAGACAGTCGAAATGGTGAGTGTACAGTATACGCGTTGTGATAATCTCCGATCTTCTTCCAAAAACACTGAACACACATTGGTAGCGTTCACGTCTGAAAAACATTCTTTGAGTATCTAATACTTGTCCCTGATAATCTTTAATTTAAATCAGACCTGCCAGTCGTACCGGAGAACTTACGGATACGACAGCAGAAGAGCAACCTAGTGCTCCTGACTTGGCGCAGCGGCAGGCTGACCGCCAACAACGTGTCTTCCTCCTCCTCCTCCTCCTCTTCTTCCTCCTCCAACGACGACGATGAGGACGTTCGATACCTGGTGGAGGAGCGTCACCTGATCGGACCCAGATATCTGGAATCTAGACTGAGTTCCTGGACCGTATGCCACGTGTCGACGAAGCCGCACGCAACCCTCCGTGGCCGGCTGAAGACCGGACACTGGTATCAGTTTCGCGTGGCGGCCGTCAATGGAAACGGCTCTCGCGGGTACTCACAACCCTCTAGACCTTTCAAAACAAAAGGTGAATGCATCCCACAGAACATGAAAAACTTGCAATTGCACTTTAATGAAAAACTCCCAATTGCACTTTAATTTATTGGCCATTACTCGAGTCGAAAATTTGATCCTATATATAATACTTTCGATTTCAGCATTTAAAGCCTAATTGATACTCTGAAGCTTATATCAACCTTCTTTGATTCTATTTAACCCATTAACTTTCTCGAGAAGTGCTCTTTAGAACCTACAAGTGGCATTTCGTGCGTCTGCTGCCACTTAGAGGCGCTAAGTAGGACTTCAATTTTCACGTGTGTATTAAACATACACTAATTCTTCCGAATATACAAATGTTGGAAAGTTTAAGTCGAAAGTATAGAGCTAAAATTTCGACTCAAGATCGCGATATATTGATCGAGGATCCGCTGTTTAAGGTGGAATCTTACTTGACGTACACAACTATGTGGCGCTGCGAAAAGTCAATCCGCGAGTACGTTCGCGTTTGAGCACTGTTTGTTTGTTGACTCGCGAGAAGTCGGGCCATTAACCCGCAGTGAAAAGTGTCGAGGTCGTTTTAGCCGCTCGCGCGCGCCAATCGCCGCCGTAAGTATTGCTTAATATTGACCTTCGCCGGCCGCAAATTAAGTTTCGCGAAGTGAGGGGCCGATAGCTAACGCGAAAGTAAACAGACCGACCGCCGAAGAGCCGCGTAGTGCAATTCTACGATTCGAGCGAGGCGGCGAGCATGACTGCGGATGTTAGTTTAATTACAGCAACGAGCGGCATCGATAAATCATTTTCGTCGAAAGCTAACTCGCGGGAGATGCTTTTTCGCATAAATTTTCCGCCTGTATCGCGATCGCGCGAAACAGGTTCGATCGAGCGAAGAAGAAGCGACAATTAGTGGTAGCGACGAGCAGGCCATGCATCAATAGATCGTGCAAAACCGGATTACAAGCATTCCGGTCGTTCCTAAGTAGGTAAATAATCAGCTGGAAATCACATCCGCGCGATTATCGTTTCAGCTCGAGTCGAGTATTTATTATAATTTATCTTATGTTTCATATTAATTTCTAGATTCTAAAGACATCAGATTTCCTCTTTTAATTGCGCGGCTCGTAAATGACGGTTATTTACATACAGTAAATAAATAATTAACGATGATTCATTGAAAGGAGCGATTTATTACTTTCGCTTCGTAATCTTGCGAGTCTCGTTGGAATTAGCGACATAGTAAAAGGGAGGAAGACGATCGTTACTTCACCGACACCCACGTGAATCGTTATAGAGCCGAGAAATCCGAAGGAGCCGCAGAATCTGACGTTGTCAAACGCGCGTCTCGTCGGCGGAAAGCTGCGCATCAATCTGCGATGGGTGAAGCCAACGTCGGATATACCGATATCGTTCTACAAAGTGTTCTGGAGCAGACTCATCCACGGGCCGACCAACGACTCCATCCTCGTCTACCACAAGACAGTCCTGAAAGTGAGTTGTTGTCATCGTTTGTAAGTTAAATAAAAGAAAAAAGAAGACAGAATCCTTTCAATGATCATTCCCTGAGTCGATATTTTGATCTTACTTTCGATCTTGGCATTCAATGTAAGGTCTGTCTTAATACTCTGAAGTCTACATCAACCTCCTTTGATTCCATTCCATCTACTAACTTTGTCGAGAGATCCTATCTGGAACTCACAAGTGACATTTTGTGCGTTTTCTGCTATTTACATTAAGTAGGATTTCAGTTTCTATATATATTAAACACATACTGATCCCTCAGAGTAGACAGATCTTAGGTTCAGATCGAGAGTAGAACTAAAAAATATCGACTTGGGTTGACTCGTGTAGAGGATGTGAGAAATACGTCTCTCAGCGACGTGTCAGGATCTCCGTTTGACGCTTTTCAGGATAAGACGTGCTACGAGCTAAAGAACCTGGAGCTGAAGTGCCAGTACTTCCTGCAGGTGCAGGCGGTGGCGGTATACGGCGGCCGGCGTTTGGCGTCGCGCAAGGCCTCCAAGGTGTTCAACAGCACCGACTATATGGCGTACGGTAAGCTCGATCACACTGACAAAACTCGTCCGCGGCGATAGCTCATCCACGCACCTTCCCCTCGGTCCTCCTTCTAAGTCCAGTAGTAGTCGGGACAATCAACGAAAGAAGTGACCTTTCATTGAAGCCGACGTCGGGAGACGTTCTCGCAGGTGCGAGCGAACCCAGGCCGGTCTCCATGTGCGTCGCATGAGCTGCCACTGCGGCGACGTGAAGGTGCGCCTAGTCTGGCCGGCGAACGGCGACGCCAAGATGTACAACATCACGTGGCGGGAGGAGTCTTGCTCGCGCGAGAAAAGCTCGGAACATCGACGGAGACCCGCCGCGTGGCAGCTGGTCCAGGTACGCGGAACATTAGTCTTTTCTGTTTACGCAAGCAAATCGTCGCTATTGCCGATAGATCCCCGGAAGTGCAATGTGCGAGAAATACACGTAGAGTAAAATTATTGACGTCCCCTTAGTCATTGGCGCTCTAGTTTTGGAATGCAACTTAAACAAAAAACCTGGCTTTTCTTGTGACCAGCTTTTTGCAGTGAAACTTCTTGACCATATTGTAGGATTTCAAAAAAGGATTTCAACTAACTAAAACAATCGTTGTTGGTCGTACGAAAAACTGGGTCTTTAGAGCCTTAATGACTAAGGGGGATCGATATCTAGGTCTTTCATCCTAGACTTGGCTCGGCGACGATCAATATTGCCGTGTCAGTCGATCCAGGGGCGATCAATTGCAACGACTGAATTTCAGACATCGCACTACGATCTGCAGCAACTGCGAAACGACTGCACGTACAGCGCGAATGTGCGAAACGTACTGAAGGATGACAGAAGCGACGGTCATGGGGCGAGTATAGAGTTCTTCGCGACCGGATGTCAGGATGATCAGAAGCGGCAGAAGCACTCGCGGCGGAAGACAGCGAGATGTAAGACGAAACCGTCCAGATCTAGACGGCACTTCGCCGGTCTGTTTGTGATATGAACTCGCTAACGGCGAAGGTGAGGCGACTGGACGGATTGTAAGTCGTCACGGTGTTCGTGATCCACGGGTGTTGACGGTAATGTCCATCGTTCGCGAATATTGTCGGAGGGACTTGTATTTCATTTGTGCCTGTTAAGGACTATCGTGTTGCGCAAAGTTGAAATGTTTTCTCGGGGAAGAAGAGCGCGCGAGGTCCCTCTGCGATTTTCCGAACGTTTGGAAGCAGCTCTTCCCCCGAACGATTTCGGTATGTGAGCTTTGTTCGCGGTGAATGGCCGAGTCTGAGTGGAGCGTAACGTAAGATTTTTACATACGAATCTTTTTTTATATATAGAGAAAGGTAATTAGAATGTGTCTACTTTTATGGTAAGAGAGGGTGTAATGAAATCGTAGTGCGTTCTATGCAACGGAGTATTAAGAAACGCTCGATCACACGTTGACTTTCATCTAAACGAAAAGTTATTGGTGTCGCAATTGCGCTTTCTTCTCAGCTTTCGTTCCGTTCAAATAAGATATTTTTATTTTCCCAAGAATCTCGTGTACAAATTTTTACTTAAGATAAAACGTAGGTGTAAGGTTTTCTATCTAGAGAAAGTTATCTACAAGTCCATTAATTATAATTTTTACTTTGCGAAAAGAAAGAAAGGAAGGAACAGTTCCGTTACCTTATTTAAAGCGACATATATTTCACGTCGTGTCTTACTAGAACCTTGAAAGCAGAAGCGCCACCGAATATGCTTGATTCAAGACCTAGAAAAGCGTCAATCAACGTTAGACGCGCGAAACTCATGATATCTCAATATTATTATAAGCAAATTTACGCATACGCGATACTGTTTATGCAATCTTACCGACATAAATTATGGCAACGAAAGATTTAACTTCTCGCACGTTGTAAGTTTGCACTCCAAATTATTACTCAGAATCATTAACATGAAGATGCGTTTTATGGACAGTCCAAATTTATACCAATTTTCTTGAAATGCCATATCTGTCAATTCTGTACTCTAAATCCGACAAAATGAAATTATTAACGAGGCACGTTAGCAATACAAGTCACAGCGATTAAAAAAGTATTTATAAGTTTCCCACGTGAATTATACTGACGCTAACGGTTCAGAAATATTACAATGAATCTTACTGCGTCTAATAATTTTTGAATGGAATAGCACAGAATATAAAATTGCAGCACTGCGGCCAGTACGAACAAGAAGATCAAAAATCCTCCAAGGAAACTCGCTGACAGCATCTGAAGATTCATAAGAGTGCATTATCTGTATACCACACGCTCACGCAATGTATCGGATAATTCCTCGATTGATCGATCGACTAATCGACAATTCGTAACGCGGCTGGTAAAAATTCTCGGACTGTAACGCAACGCGTACGCATCTCAGAAAAAGATATTTCTGGAGCGATGAAAATTACTCACTGCTTTAAATATAATAGCGCCAAAACAGAATCGGAACACGCTAATCACGTAAATCAGATTAAAGTTCAAGGACAACAACTTCTTTAACAAAAATGACAAGCTGAAACAAAACGCACACATAAAGATAAAAAAACATAGTATTCAAAACACTCTAAAATGTAGCTCGCATTTTAAAGCGCGTTAAGGCACTTTCGGCGGGTACCTATCAGCTACTTACTGGACTATGGCGTTGTGGTGCCGACATAATGCTTTTAGCTCCTTCTCTGTCCACGAATTCGTCCTAGGATAACATCCCTCCGCGAAATCATCCCGTTCATGCCGCATATCGCTCTCGCGAAATATCATCGCGAGCTTCGTCGTGATGTATCGGTACTGCACTGTCATCAGCATCACTAGATGTATCATGTAGATGTCCACACCAGCTTTTTTCAGGAACATGTAAATGCTGCCGATCGATAGGACGAGACTGCCCAACATGTAAACCTTGGCCGAGAAGGGTTCCGCGGAGAAAGCTACCGGTATTATATAGTCCTCGTAGTAAAACGAACTCTTCTTGAACACCAACATCAACGGCGTCATGATATAGCACACCGACAAGGACAACACGCTGATTATACAGTACAGAGTGAATACAGTCTTGATCGGCTTCGTGATCGTTGTCACGAGGTCTTTCATGATCTCGTCCTTGGTGCTGAGGATGTCGTTCAGCTCGAGGATGAATTGTCGCAACAGCTTGCTGTGCCGCTGAATCTGCACGTTCAGGAAAATCACCTCCGTGGTATACACAATAGAAGTCGTGGCGTTCGCCATTACTCTCTCCCTTGACACAAACATGATCCCGGGAATAAAGGCGCCCGCGCGGACGATCAGTTCGAGCCACACAAGTATGCCGTATACTTGCCAGAATATCGAGAACGAGCTGTTGGATGTCATCGGTAACAAGTTGCCAGAAATTTTATTCAGCCGATCGTTCAAGATATTCACGCTTTGAAAGTTCATGCTGTCGCCCATTCGCTGTGTGTTTCGCACGATTCTTTGTGTTTCTCTGCTCGTCCTGTTCGATCTCAGTATCGCATAGTGTATAGTCGCCTTGCCGCTCGGAGAAACATGTGAAGGTTTCTATCGTAATTTAAGAATGATGCGCGTGTCACGGTCAATCTTCGGTCATTTATTAATTCCTTTGGATCCTCACTTTCACCTGAGTTCTATTAACACAACGTACGTTAGCGTACGGAATATCTTCTGCCTACGTTCAAAATATCAAGTTTTGCCGACTAATTTCGTTCAGTTGCCAAGTTGAGTGGGAGATCAATTATTACTGGCGAGATTGTAGGTTCTTCCGTCGAAACAAAGGGTGTAGGTGTACTGTGAAAGGTTTTCATAAATAAATATCGCGATATCATCGTTGAAGGGAAGATCTATCCTTCGCACTTCCCTCGCCATAGACGCGCGTTTTCTATAATTACAGTTGCTCTCTGAACTGACAATTATCTTATGGTGACAATTATCTTTTACTGACAGCCACGAAGCAACAACGCGAAGGTTTGCAAGTACCACGTATGTAGAGTGCGAACGCTATGCGGAACGCATTGTAGGATTGACCAGCGGACAGATAGGAGCAATACTGTATTTGTTTCGTTTATAAGAGCACGAGGGCAATCGAGTACGATATGAGACATTTCAAAGAGAGCTTATTCGTGAATGGAGTGCCGACTATATTTTCGTGCAACGCATCCTGCAACTTGAGGTTCGTCGTTGTTATGATTAGTCGTTGAAGGAAAGATCTATCCTTCGCACTTCCCTCGCCATAGACGCGTGTTTTCTATAATTACAGTTGCTCTCTGAACTGACAATTATCTTATGGTGACAATTATCTTTTACTGACAGCCACGAAGCTACAACGCGAAGGTTTGCAACTACCGCGTATGTAGAGTGCGAACGCTATGCGGAACGCATTGTAGGATTGACCAGCGGACAGATAGGAGCAATACTGTATTTGTTTCGTTTATAAGAGCACGAGGGCAATCGAGTACGATATGAGACATTTCAAAGAGAGCTTATTCGTGAATGGAGTGCCGACTATATTTTCGTGCAACGCATCCTGCAACTTGAGGTTCGTCGTTGTTATGATTAGTCGTTGAAGGAAAGATCTATCCTTCGCACTTCCCTCGCCATAGACGCGTGTTTTCTATAATTACAGTTGCTCTCTGAACTGACAATTATCTTATGGTGACAATTATCTTTTACTGACAGCCACGAAGCTACAACGCGAAGGTTTGCAACTACCGCGTATGTAGAGTGCGAACGCTATGCGGAACGCATTGTAGGATTGACCAGCGGACAGATAGGAGCAATACTGTATTTGTTTCGTTTATAAGAGCACGAGGGCAATCGAGTACGATATGAGACATTTCAAAGAGAGCTTATGCGTGAATGGAGTGCCGGCTATATTTTCGTGCAACGCATCCTGCAACTTGAGGTTCGTCGTTGTTATTATTAATGAATTACGATAATTTTATTTTAAACATTGACGAGTGTTTCTGGAAAGGGAAAGCGACAACGAGAGTTAGAGTAATAATTTAATTACTATATTTGATTTAATATAAACAGTTGTTTCTCGGTGCTATATTTTAAGAACCCTCTCTAAATTAACGACAAATACGTTTTCATGTTCTAATAATTATTTAAATAATAATATAGAGTGTCTCAGACTCTACTCCGCATATCTTGTGGGAATGTAGAAAGGGTTGATGTGAACATAAAAGTCTTATACCGTTTTGCAATATTCGCAATAATAACCGAGAAATTAATTGTAAAGGTTAAGGGAAAACGCATGCCGAAAATAAGGTAAACGTTCCAGTAGTCGAACATACATGTCCCAATGATTGACATATTGCTTTTGTATTTTTCTTTGTTGAAATGCTTTTCAATATACAAAACAATATAATAAATGAAAGGAAATATTTAGTTACTTTGTGATTTTGTTTCATTTATTGATAAGCATCTTAACACAAGTATATTATTAGTAATTCAATTGTCGGTACACGTTCAATCACTAGGACGTTTCCCTTACTTGAGGGAGGCGAGCTCGCGGCCTAATAATATAGCGCACGGATGTCGGCGCGCGATAATTGGGAAAACAACGCACCCTTGCCTATATTTATATCGCTGCACTCCTATATCTCACCTCGGCGCGGTGCGACAAGACGTAGGATCATAGCGATAAAAACCGCACAACTGCCTACTATATGAGGTGTGGCTATTAAATAACGAGACTGACGCTGTAAAACATTTTATTTTGATTTCATACATTTTTACTTATTATCACCTTCAATATACACCCCTCCTCTATCCCTACAACGCTCCATGCGAATCTTCCATTGTTCGAAGCTGTGCTGGAAGTCTTCTTCTGTCAGCTCCTTCAGGACGCGTGCCGCTTTCTCTTTCACAGCTTCAACGGACTCAAATCTTGTTCCTTTTAAGGCAGATTTCACCTTAGGAAACAGATAGAAGTGTATTATCCTTTCCAATAAGTTTGGGTCATTTTCAATGGCATTCAAAGTGTCAGTACAAACATTTTTGCGATCTTCTTGTTGTTCAAACGTGAGAATTTTAGGCACCATTTTGGCACACACTTTTTTCATGTTAAAATTGTTATGTAAAATTTGCCGTACGGATTCTTTATCAATTCGTACAGTTTCAGCAATCGCACGAATACTTAACCGACGGTCAGATCGAATCAGATTACCGATTTTTTCGATATTGTCATCCGTTTTTGACGTGGAAGGGCGACCCGGGCGTGAATCATCTTGAACGTCTTCTCGGCCATCTTGAAAACGCTTAAACCACTCAAAAACACGTGCGCGCGATAAACATTCATTGCCATACACTTCTTTCAATAAATTATATGTTTCAGTAGCAGTTTTTCCAAGTTTCATGTGAAATTTCACAACAATTCGTTGCTCTACTGTTACACTTAACATTTTTCCGGCGAAACAAAAAAACAACTCTAATGCGAATGAAGGCTACGGCTATACTGATTTGTTTACAGAAGCGAGAGGCACTGCATTCGAAAGAGAAGGCTTCACGATAACAGCTGTGGCTTGCTGGCGTTTGGCGTATGCGCACTTCTTCTGTAGCAGCGTCAGTCTCGTTATTTAATAGCCACACCTCGTATTACTAGGTCGCGAGCGTCCTACCCTTAACCATTCAACGTGCGTTTTTCTTTGATCTTTTACAATTAATTTCTCGGTTATTATTGCGAATATCACGAAACGGACTTTTATGTTCAACCCATCCTACATTTCCATACAATATACGGAGGAGAGTCCGGAGAGTTATACCCTGTATAATGGATAACTATTTAGATTGCTACCTACTTCTGAGCTTTCGGACATTTTTTATTTGCGAAACCAACATTATACTTGAGAAAGTTTGTATCTAAGAAAACTACGATATGTTCATATTGCTTCTTCCGTTTATAAGAGCACAAGGGCGATGGAGTACGATTGATTCAAGATCTGGAAGTCAAGATACTTGTTGAGACAAATCTCAAGTATTGATATAGATAAAATAAACTCTTACCGCCATAAATGAGGGTAAAGACAGATTGAATTTATCGCACGTCGAAAGTTTGCATCCTAAAGTATTACCGAGTACCATCAACATGAATGTACGTTTTACAGACGGCCCAAATTGATACCATTTTTCGTGGAAGGCTTCATCAGTAATGTTTGTACTCTAAGTCGGACGTAGAGATGTAATAAAATGTATTACAGTTACTTGTCAATGATTATACTCATTCTGGTATATCGGGAAACTAGTTTGAAACTGAAGTGAACAACGAAACTTAACTTAAGTGATAAGAGATAATCTTCTTTAAGGATGGAAGACAATGTTAAAATTTACCGCGTCCTGCAATTGTTGCACGCAAGAGCATAACATGTAGAATTCCATTACTGAGCCGCACGAATACATACTGACCAGCAAACCTTCCAGTGGAGTGGCTGATAGTACCTGCAGCAAATGTCTATTGCACAAACAATTTATAATCGGTATAAATTAATGTATGTACGACCCAAATTTATGAGAATAGATATGCATTTTGTTAAGTAATCATTTTCTACATTACACTAGGCCAGAATAATAAATGCCACTCACTGTATTAAATAGAATAGCGGTAAAACTAAAGCGTAAAACGCTGTTCACATAAATCATACTGAGACTCGAAGAGAGCAATTTCCTCAGTATAACCGATAAACTGCAACAAAGGTTTAATATGCGCATATAAAATATATTATAATAGAGCATTTTTCATTACGCTTTATTTGGATTTTCACAAAGAAAATTTCCAATAAGAAGAAAATTAAATTAATAAGAGATTTGTAATATATCAGAAATTTAATTTTTTTTCAGAGTCTTAACTGAGACGAAAGTGTAGTTTGTAAAATGAGGAACAATGCTCAGGAATTATGAACTATTTTTTTTTAATAGCTAATAATATAATTTTCTCTTAATTTACCATGATGTGCGAAGCATAAATAATGAAACATAGTTGGTATCCGAAAAAAAGTGAATTTCTATCTTTTTTAATTTATTCGATATTCTAATTAATGATATTCTGAGCTATTCCCTACTACGTTCCGACCATTGCTAAATATTAAACTTAATTAATTATTAATTCGTTAACTCGTATTAAAAAATGACAAAGAACTTTTATCTCGATTCTACTCACTTGCCATTTCAATATTCGGCGGTTGGTGTGGGGAACATCTATAAAAAATAGAATAAATATAATAATTACCGTATGACAGTAGTGTGATGCCGGCATAACGCTTTTATCGCATTGTCCATCCATTGATCTGCTTCACAACTAACTTCTCCGAATTTACATCGTTTATCTGCATCTTGAAATATCAAGGCAAGCCTCCTGGCGGTATAGCGATATTGTGCTGTTAGCATTAGCACGAGATGTATCATGTAAATGTCCAAGCCACATTTCTTCAGAAAGATCTGAACATTGCCAAACAGCACCAAAATGCTACCTAGCACAAAGGTTCGGGACGAGAATGGCTGCTGAGAAAAGACTGCTGGCAATCTAAAATCCTCGTAAAAGAAGGTCTCCCTCTCGAAGACCATTAGCAACGGTAATGAGAACCACACGAAAACGGACAACGCACCAGATACCAAGTAAAATCTGAGCGGACCATCCATAGGCTTGATAGTCGTCATTACGACGTCCTTCATGATCTCGTCCTCGATTTGTAGAATGTCGTTCAGTTTCCGAATAAGCCGATCTACCAGTTTTTTGTGTGTCTGGATCTGTCCAACTATGAAGAACACTTCGATGGTAAGGATAGCGGTGATAGTACCGTCTATAATAGCCTTCTCCCACGACACCATGATAAGACCTGGGATTAGCACGCATAATTGGACTCCTTGAAGTAACCACATGAAGCCGCCGTACGACTTCCACGTAATCGAAAATCGCGAGCTGTGCGGCGCTAATGGTAGCAGGTTGCCCGATATGTAATTCGAGTAAACGTTTAGGGGATTTACATTTCGGAAGTTCATGTTCGCGACAATATTTCTCGATGCAGATTTCCTATGATTAAGCGGGAGATTAAAATTCTCCTGGGAAACTTGTTTTTTTTAAGCTGAATTCATTCAGACGTACGAAGATAGTGTAAGAATTTTGTTCCCGCGCTAGTTTTACGATCCTATAGTCGTTCCCCTGCACTCGCACTAAAGTACGGATATTTCTATCGCGATTTGAGAAGTACAAGCGAATGGTCGGGCTAATTATTATTTCCCTTGAATTGTTGCTCTTCTGCTAGTCTGTAGTTAATGTTATAGTTAAATCGACGATCAAACGTGTTTTGCTCCATTTGATAGCAGTTAAGAATGTCGAAGGAAAGTGATGTCTGCAATTTATTTAATATCTCGGTACACACGACGACAGATAATTTCTATTTGTTTTGTTATAAGATGCAAATGCAGGATCGCATAAAAATGCCACGACAGTGGAGATGACAATTTAAAGCGGACTTAGCTTTCATCAGTTTGTTTATCGTAAAGACGAAGCGACTTCTAATCCCCTCGCTTGTCAAAGCGACAATTATCTTATAACGTCTCGCCAAATGCTGCAGAGTAGGAAAATTCTAAGATACCGTAAAATGTCACACTGTCTGTGTTGATACTAAGTTGTTCTACTTTAGTGTACGATGTGCTTCCCTACTAGATATTTCGAAGCCAGCTTCTGTATCAATATCTATATCAATGTGCAACGCAAGTCGATCCTTAAGGTTAGTCATTACTTTTATTGACGAAATATATTATTTTTATTTTAACTATAGATGCGTGGTTCTTGAGGGGATTAATTATAAGTGGAAATAAGAAGTATGTAGTGTAATTGCAAAAATTTAATCGTTATAGTTAATTTAATATCTCTTAAAGTTATATATTATTTTTATTTTAACTATCAGTGCGTGGTTCTTGAAGGGATTAATTATAAGTGGAAATAAGAAGTATGTAGTATAATTGCAAAAATTTAATCGTTGTAATTAATTTAATATCTCTTAAAGTTAGTCATTATTTTTATTGATGAGATATATTAATTTTATTTTAGCCGTCGTTAAACGATCTTTGGATTAATTATTAGTAAGAATTAAATATAATTAGTAAAAATTAAAAGTATATGTAGTATAACAGCAAAACATTAAGTCATTATAAAGAAAAAATGTAGTATCGGTCATCTCTTAGTACAACGCAGGTTTCTTGAGGTGATATGTCATCTTTAATAGGATGTGTGCTAATTTTATTTTAAATTTTGACGAAAAATATATAAAGAAATTACGAACAAAAATTATAATTTAGTTAACAGAAACTAGTAATTTGATTTAATATTTTTCAATGCTATATTTTTATATTCCAAATCACATACCAACAATATTTGCATACTTTTCAATACTAATAGTTATCAATATAAGTTAAATTACATTGATATCTACTTTTTATACTTACTGCTAATTTTTTACTTGCAAAACTAACATTTTATTTGCGCAAGTAATACAAATAATGTATGAGATGTGAATTATTGTCGTTGCTCCTTTTGATCACAACAACACAAGAGCAATGGAGTATGATTGATTTAAGATCTGAAATTCATCGATAAGTTTTTCTAGACACAAATTTTAAATATTAATATACGTAATATAAATTCCTACCGTCATAAATGAAGATAAGGACAGACTGAACTTCTCGCACGTTGAAAGTTTGCATCCTAACTTATTAGCTAATATCATCAACATAAATGTGCGTCTTATAGAAGGTCCAAATCGATACCATTTTTCGTGAAAAGCTTCGTCCGTAATCTCTGTACTCTAAATATAAAATTAACATAATATGTTAATAGTTATTTAACAATAATTTTTCTGTCAAAATAAATTTCAAGACTAAAACGATCACGTTTGATGAAATTATTCCTCTTTAAGGAAGTGAAACAAGACAAAAGTTTACCGCATCCTGTAATTGTTGCACGCAAGAGCACAGCATGTAAAACTCTATTATGGAGCCGGATGAATATACGGTAACTAAGAGAACTTCAATGAAAGAAGCTGAGAGTACCTGTGATAAAGATTCACTTGCTTGAACGCGTCATAATTAAAAAAAAATTTCTGGTAACCGTGTGCACAGTAGTTAATATGTTTTTTATTAGTAATAATTGTTTATCACGCACTTGTTGAATAATTAGTATTACTCACTGTAGTAAATAAAACAGCTGTGAAACAAAAGCGTAAAACGCTGTTTATATAAAGCATATTGAGACTTGAAGATAGTATTCCCCTTAGTATAATCGATAAACTACAACAGAAATCCAATATATGTACGTAAGATATGATGGAGAACTTTTCATTACAATTTATTTAAGATTCCTGGCATCCATATTGGATTCTGATATTAGAAGCGAGAAGTGACACGCTGAAAATTCTTGTGCGCTATTTCCAAACAAAAAGATCTGTACAAAAAAGCATCTCAAATCGCTTGAGCATACTTGTGAAATTTTCCGAACCCATTCTCTTGATAGTCAATGAATAGCCGTAAAATAAACGTAGTGAAATCATGAGCAAAAGTAGGTTAGAGATAAAGATTACATTTTAGAGTTACTTATTTGACTATTAAGGAAAAGAATAGATTTCGCATCATTTTACAAATATGCTTAAGCGATTAAAAGTCTTCCATACAAATATCTTTTTATTTCGAAACGGCACTCAAGAATTTTGGACGTGCGTTTTCTCGCTTCTGACATTATCAATTCAGAGTTTTGTAGCGAGTACACAGAAACCTCAACATAGTATTTCACTCTCTGAAGATGAAAAAGAAATCAATTTATGCCGCAAAGACATATAACATAAAACACTGATTCTTTCTTCAGCTTCAACTCAGAGAACTGCTCGAAAGAAGTGTTGTGCTTTAGAATTAAGAAATAAGTTTTTAAAATAATCGACGAAGTATGCGCACTTTCTTTTAACTCATTAACAATTATCCGACATAAATATAGGAAACTTTATGTTTAATTATCTTTAAAATAAATAAGAAATGAAATAAATATAATAATTACCGTGTTACAATAGTGTGACGTCTGCATAACGTTTTTAATGCATTCTCCGTCCACTGCTCTGTTTTATAAGCTTCTCCAAGTTCATGTCGCTTATCTGCGTTTCGAAATATCGTGGCAAGATTCTTGGCAATATAGCGATATTGCGCCGTAATCATTAACATAATGTGTATTATGTAAACGTACAAGCCACATTTTTTCAGAAAAATGTGGATGTTACCGATCAGTATCAGACTGCTACCCAGAACGAAGGTTTGAGTCGAGAACGGCTGGTTAGAAAAGGCTGCCGGCATCTTGAAATCCTCGTAGAAGAAGTTTCTTTTCTCAAAGATGATCAAAAACGGTAATAAAAACCACACAAAGACACAAAATGAACCCACCACACTGTAATATCTAAGTGGAATATTCATGGGCTTGATGGTTGTCGCCACAATTTCCTTCATGATCTCGTCCTCGATTCGCAGAATGTCGTTCAATTCCTGGATAAACCGATTCACCAGTTTCCTGCGTGTTTGAATTTGTCCAGCTATGAAGAATACTTCAATAGTAAGCACAAATATGAGCGTCCCCTCTCCAACAGCCTTTTCCCGCGACACCAAGAAAAAACCTGGGATTAGTATGCTTAATTGTGCTATTTGAATGAGCCACATCAAGCTGGCGTACAATCTCCATGCGATCGAATATCGCGAGACGCTCGGCGTTAAGGGTAACAGGTTTCCCGTTATGTAATTCATGCGGACATTCAGTGAGTTCACATTTCGGAAGTCCATATTCGCAACAATACTCTCTTTTTAGTGCAGGCTTTTTTTTATTAATCGTTAGATTAAGATTCTCCTCGGACACTCGCGTTTTCTGGACAGTGTTAACTCATAGATGCGAAGATAGTATGAGTATCTTGTGCATTCTCGCTCTACAATTTTATCGTTACCCCACTCCAGCTATATAAAGATGTGGGCTTTTTCTATTCAATTCAATTCTTCTATGCAATTTAGGTATAGTTCGCAGGGAACTATCGTACTACGAATCGTTATTTTCTTCGCTATTTCTGCGCCTTTGTTCAAAATATCGAATGATATAGGATGTCTGTAATTTCTCGTTGTCGCTACATGGGGACAGACGGTTTCTACTTGCCTTATAAATTGCAAATGAAATACTTCATAGACAAATCGCACAGGAAGTGAAAATTTATAGAGGGACGGAATTGTCTTTGTCATTGTGTTTATCGTAGGATCGAGCGATTATAAACTTCCTTCTAATCATTTTCGCCCGTCGAGGTGGCAATTATCTTATAGCGCGTGGCTGGACGTTGCATAGCAACGAAATTCACGGAGAATACGATGAAACTTCATGCTGTGTTGATACGAGTCAGTCTAGTGTCAATGAGTTGATCTAGTTCAGTCTACGATGTGCTTCTACGAAATTTTTCAAATCTTGTACACTTCGCGAGTGTATCAATGGCTACATCAGCGTACACCGCAAGCTGATCCTTAAGATTAGTCATTATCTTTATCGACGAAGTATATTAGTTTCATTTTAACTATCAATAAATGGTCCTTGGATTAATTATAAGTGGGAATAAAAGGTATGTGATATATATAATAGCAACAACGTAGTCGTTATAATTAATTGAACAATCGACAATCTTTATTCAATATTATATCTAATTTTACAATTATATCTTGGTGGGGCGTCCGAATCACATCAATAACTTTGTATTTGTAAATATGCAAAACTGCCTACTAAAACTAAATTGTTATTCATTCATAGGAGCAGAATTGCGATTGAGTACGATTGATTTAAGATCTGAAAGACCGCCGAAAAATTTGTTGAGAACTACGTACGAATTAAAAGGTCTGTTCCTTTTAGCTGAACTGCCTGAACTGGTGCAGATTGGTGCAATAAGTTAGAGTGAAACAAAATATATTTATCTCGTTCTAACTTATTGTGCTAGTTCAGACAGTTCAGCTAAAAAGAATAAATTCAAGTATGGACACGCGTAAAATGAGTATTTACCGCCATAAACGATGGTAAAGACAGATTGAATTTATCGTTGGTCGATATTTTGCACTCTATATTGCAACCTTGTATCATTAACATAAAAGTACGCTTTACGGACGGTCCAAATCGATACCATTGTTCGTGGAATGCTTCGTCCGTTATGTTTTTACTCTAAATGTACGTACAAGAAGCGTATAATGCGTATTACACGCTTATACATGCGTATTACATGCTTATTTAAAAATTGTTATTCTAACGGTATATGTTTATAAACTTAAAATTCGTTTGTTGCTGAAGCAATTTGTTTGAGAAAGGGAAAAACTTACCGCGTCTTGTAACTGTTGCACACTGGAGCACAGGATGTAGAACTGTACTATGGAGCCACATATAAACATGGCGATTGGAAAACCGTCTAAAAAAGTTGTCGTTAGTGCCTGCGGATACGTATGTAAAGACTTATTGCTCGTACGTATTATAATGTGCCACGAACAAACATTTATATAATCCGCGTGTATTTAATGGTAGATATATTTAAAGTATGATAACAAATGCCTTCATAATATACTTTTCGAGTAATTAATATAGTATTACTCACTGCGCTGAACATAACACCGATAAAACAAAATCGTAAGACGCTGTTCACATAAATCATACTGAAGCTCAAAGACAGCAATTTCTTTAGTATAGAAGATATACTGAAACACAGCTCCAATATGTACAGGTACGACATGATGGAGCACATTTTATCGCTAAACTTCTATTCAACTTGAAGTTTTATCGAGTAAATTTTAAATAGAAAAGAAAATAGGAGGTATTATTTTACAAAGATATCCGAAATTGTGATAGAAATTGGGATTTTTCTAATCTTAAAACGAGAAAACAGGAAGAGAATGACTGTTTCAATTGAATCGACACGCATGTTCTTCCGCACACCGACGAAGGTATAAGCAAAATTTGCCAGTCTACCTACCGTAACACAGCAACATGATGTCGACACAACGCTCTTATCTCTTTTTCGGCCCATCGATTTACTTCGGGGAGCCATTCTTCCAGTTCATTTCGCAGATTTGCATCTCGAAATATCGCGGCTAGCTTCTTGGCGATATAACGATATTGTGCCGTTATCATCATCACCATATGTATCATGTAAATATCGACTCCGCCCTTCTTCAGGAAAATATACATATTACTAATCAGCAAGAAGATGCTGCCCAGCAGGAAGACCTCGGTCGAAAATGGCTGCTTAGAGAAGGTCGCCGGTATCCTATAATCCTCGTAACGGAAGGACACTTTCTTCAGGAGCAGCAGAAACGGTATGCAACACCACAGAAGGACGGACAGACCACCCGCCATCCAATAAAACTTGAGCGGAATCTCCATGGGCTTCAAGGTCGTCGTCACGACGCTCCTCATGGCCTCGTCCTCGACGCGCAAGAGGTCGTTCAATTTTCGGATCAGTCGATTCGCCAGTTCCCTGTGGGTGTAGATTCGCCCAACCATGAAGAACGCCTCGATGATGACCACAGCAGTGGTCGTACCGTCCATTAGAGTCTTTTTCCACGGCACCATAACTATACCAGGGATCAGCACGCTTATTTGCATCACTTGAATCAGCCACATCAGGACGCCGTACAGTTTCCATCCGATCGAAAGTCGCGAGTCGCCCGATTTCAATGGTAGCAGATTGCCTGAGAGATAGTTGGCATGAACGTTCAAGGGATTCAAATTTCGAAAGTCCATATTTTTGCAATTCCGATTCCTTGCGAAGAGGTTGATTTCGACCAGTTGGTAGATTAAGATCGGACGTGTTTCTAGATAGACTTCGCTCGATTTGATCTCACTGTTAAAAAGCATTGAATACCAAACACGTGAGGATAATGCGGCAAACCTGTATTTTCTCGCCCTTGTTCTAGTACCCCATTGTCATACACGTTTATCCACACACGCACGAACAAGCATACCTTTTCAATCGTGATCCGAAGGTCGTCCGCAGTCAGCTGTCGACCTACGGCTATTCATTATTCCCCCGCGAGTTGCTACACTTTTGCCTGCCTGTCGTTAATATATGATGTGCGTATGACGAGCGGAGGCAGTTCGCTCGATTTGATAGCGACCAAGAATATTGACAATAAGATAAGGATATCTACAATGCTCCCGATATGATAGGATAATAGGAAATTTCTACTTGTCTTATTATAAGATGCAAATGAAAGACTTTGCAAGTAAATGTTGCAGCGATGGAAATGACAATTTATAGAGAAACGGACGTATCTTTGTTATTTTGTTTATCGTAGGAAAATGAAGTTGCAGACTTCTCTGTAATCATTCTCACTCATCAAAGCTCGGCAATTATCTTATAGTGTCGCGCTCGACGTTGCAGAGCAACGAAATTCAAAAAGCCCGTGGAACTACGCGCTGTCTCACTTCGTTCGTATGAGTCATAGGTTGATTTAATTTAATCCACAATGTGCTGCTACAAGGAGTTTCAGAACTGCTTTTATTAGTAACAGATGAACTATCGGCAGTGACCTCGTGTATCGCAAGATGAACCTTGAGGTTGGTTGTCGGTTTTATTGCCCGGAGAATGTGTTAATTATATTTTAATAAGAGTTTTTGGAAGAAATAGTGAAAAATTATAAGAATGTTACGCACAACGTAATAAAAAATATAATTTTTATATTTAATTTATTATTTCAATAATTGTTTTTCGGTGCTATATTTTAGCAATTCAAAATCACATTAACATTTGCATTTCTAAATAACATCACTTACTTAAATTATATCATTGTCCACTTGTAAACTTACCGTCACTCTTAATTCACGATACTAAGATCTCACTTAAAAAAGTTGATATCTTAAAAATCTATGAGACATTCATACACCTTTGCTACTCCTTTTGCTCATAAGAGCACAAGGGCAATCGAGTAGGACTGATTTAAAATCTGGAAGACCGCCGGAACACTTATCGAGAAAGACGTAAAGTTTTGATACACATGAAATAAATTCTTACCGACATGAATGAAGTCAATGACAGATTGAACTTATCGTTCGTCGAAATTCTGCATCCTAAATTAGTACCCAACATCATCAACATAAATGTACGTTTTACGGACGTTCCAAAACGGTACCAGTTTTCATGGAACGCTTTGTCTGTCATATCTTTACTCTAAATCAAACACATAAAATAATAATAATATGTTATAATGATGTGATAATATCATATTGCACTATGTCGAGAAATATCAAATTAAAATTGAAAATTAGAACAACGATGAACGATGAGGATAATTTTGTTTGAGAAAGGGAAGCTTACCGCGTCCTGCAATTGTTGCACGCAAGAGCACAATATGTAGAATTGGACTATCGAGCCGCACATATACATGAAGATCGGGAAACCTTCCAGGAAGGTCGTTGACGGCAGCTGTGAATAAGTGTGCAAAGACTGATTGCTCTTATATATTACAATTTGACGGTTACGAACTATTTACACGATTCGTATAGAAAAGATTAGATATACCGTTAGAGACATTAATTGTCTATGACATTCTTGTAGAGTAATTATCATTTATTATATTACTTACTGTGCTCAACATAACACCGATAAAACAAAACCGTAAGACGCTGTTCACATAAATCATACTGAAGCTCAGAGACAGCAATTGCTTCAATAAAGACGATAAGCTGAAACAGATCTCTAATATGTGTACAAGTAAGAAATGATTGAGCACATACTTTATTTGAAATTTCATTAGAATAAATTTCTATACTCTAATCATACTTCATTAGAATAAATTTCTAACGAAAAAGAATATTTCTAAGAAAATTGATTAGCGAAAGTCGCTACTGTCACCTCTCTCTCTCTCTCTCTCTCTCTCTTATATAAAACAAAAAAACGTTTCTTGAGACTCGATTACAAAACGAGAAGCGTGATATAAATTTATAAGATTTTTCTTTTTAATTAAACCATTAACGCGTATGTTCTATCACTCTTCTGCGCACCAACAAAGGTTTTTAACAAAGTATTCTTAACAGAGTCTCTTTAACATGCTTCGGTGGCCAAATCCAGCATTCCACTCGACAAAGTGGAGACGTGAAGTCCAGGTTCGAATCTTGGCTGAGGCAGTATTTTTTGCAAAACAAAGATTAAGAAGTAGAGTTCCGTTTAGGATGAGAAAAATAAAGAATTATTAAAACAATTTAGGTTTAACTAGTGGAAGGTGTACAAAAGTGTACGTTAGACCAAGACACTCTTGGCGCGTTCATTTACACTATCAAAAGTGGATAAATTTAGCAACTAATATCCTAGTTAATTCGGCACTGACTTACTTGGCCAATTTACTCGGGATATTTGAATTTTGACAAAATTCTCTTGGCTACCTACCGTAGAACAGCAGTATGATGTCGGCACAAAGCTCTTATCTCTTTATCCACCCGCTGATCTATTTCGGGGCGAGATTGTTCCAGTTCACCTCGTAAATTTGCATTTCGAAATATCGTAGTGAGGATCGAGGCGGTATAACGATATTGCGCCGTTATCAATAGCAAGAGGTGTATCATATAAATATCCATACCGCCTTTTTTCAAAAAGATATAAGTGTTACCGATCAGCACGAGGATGCTGCCCATCAGGAAGATCTCGATTGAGAACGGCTGCTTGGAGAATACCGCCGGCATCCTGTAATCCTCGTAGCGGAAGGAGACCTTCTTGAAAATCAACGGAAATGGTATGCAGCACCACAGGATAACGGACAATCCACCCGCCACCCAATAAAACCTGAGTGGTGTCTTCATAGGCTGCAACGTCGTCGTCACGATGCTCTTCATAGTCTCGTCCGCATCGCGCAGGATGTCGTTCAGTTGCTGGATCAGTCGGCTCACTAGTTTTCTGCGCGCGTAAATCCGCCCGATATTGAAGAACACCTCGATGCTGAGCACAGCGGTGACCGTGCCGTCTATCAGAGCCTTCTCTCGCGGCACCATGATGAGACCGGGGATCAGCACGGTCACCTGTATTACTTGAACCAGCCACATTAAGGTGGCGAATAACTTCCACGCGATCGGAAATCGTGAGTCGCCCGGTGCTAAAGGAAGCAAATTGCCCGAGAGCAAGTTGGTGCGAACGTTCAGGGGATTGACGTTTCGAAAATCCATGTCCGTAACAACGCTTCTTCGTGAAGAAGATTATTTACGATTAATCAAGCGATTATAATTCCTATCCGATACTCGTATTCCCTGGATAGATTTCATTTAATTTGGTAAATTCATTAAGAACGTGTTCAATCGGATCCGCGAGGTTGGAATCCTGCAAGTTTTCGCTCTTGTTCTACGATCTCACGTGTGTTCTTCTCTATCCCCGCATAAACACGCAAGCCTTTTGTATCGTTATTCAGAGGTCGTCCGCGATCAATTACACATCTATAGTCACTCATTATAACCCTCGAATAGCCGCGCATCTTCCGTAGTTAATATATGACACGCTGTCGCTCGACAAACGGAGGTATGTAGTCGATAGCAGTCGAGAACATCGACAAAACGAAACGTTTGTAATTTGTTGTTGGTGTCTTTCAGTAGAGGACGACAGAAAATTTCTACTGATGCTATTATAAAATGCAAATAAAGGGCTTTGTGTGCAAATGTCGCGGCAGTTCATAGCAGTATGAAAATAGCTTTATTATTTTGAGCATCATAAAGAAGAATGGCTATAAGCTGTTTTCTAATTAGCCTCGCTCGGCAAAATAGTGATTATCTTATAGCATTCTTCTAGGCGAGTGGTGGTACTGTTAACCCTGTGCGATGATCGAGCATCAATCCTCGATGGAAGCACCGGGAACGAAAGGGAGCAGACTGGTTCTCCAGATTGGGGGTTGTGCGATAGGCCGATAACCTATCCCCATCAAAAACTATTATTAACAGACAGGACTGAGGCTAAGGACTTTTTTAGGATTGTTATGCTGTAAAAAATGAAGAAGATTCCTCTGGACGTTGCAGAACAGGAAAATTCGACGACATCGTGAAACGCCACCTGATTTTGTTGACGTAAGTTAGATGATTATTTTTCGACCATAAAGAGAATAGTCGATTATAATTGGTTAATTTCCTTACTGCTTACGTCTTAATTCTTAAGTTTTTCTATGTACCACTAGCTTAAGTCCACGAGGGACTTTAAAGCGTCTTCTACAATGGCAGTAGGAGTAGTAGTAAGAAATAAGCAGTAAGTAAATAGACCAATCACAATCGATTATTTTTGAAACATGAGAATGGAATTGGTCAATTTGCTTACTGCTTATTTCTTACTACTACTCCTACTGCCATTGTAGAAGACGCTTAAGCTAATGGTACATAAAAAAACTTAAGCAATAAGGAAATTGATCATTCACAATCAACTATTTTCTTTAGGTCGAAAAATAATCAACTGCGATTGATCAGTTTGCTTACTGTTTACGTCTTACTGCTTAAGTTTTTCTATGTGCTCCTAGTCTTAGAGCCTCCGCACAGAAACGACTGTAAAGCGTGGTCTACAATGAGAACTTAAGGCTTAAAATTTAAGCTTTAAACTCTAAGCCGTAAGAAATTGACCAGTCACAGTCAATTATTTTTCTTATAATTGATTGTGATTGGTCAACTTCTTACGGCTTAGGACTTAAAGCTTAAATTTTATGTCTTAAGTTCTCATTGTAGACCACGCTTAAGGGCAGTGGCACACAGAAAAACTTAAGCAGTAAGACGTAAGCAGTAAGCAGATTGACCAATCACAATCGCTGATTTTTCTTACGGTCCAAAACTCAATGACTGTGATTGATCAATTTGCTTACTGCTTTACTGCTTAAGTTTTTCTGTGCGTCACAGCCCTAACGCTTTAAGTCGTGTTAAGTACTGTCATTAAACTTTACTTAACCGTAAACTTAGGTTAATGCACAAAGAAAATCTTTACGTAAGCGTACTTACACGTCACGAACATTGTCATCATCTATAAAGAATGTATTAAATATTTTATTATAACAAAATATAACAAATATTAAATTTAACAAAATAATATTGTATCAGTTGTTATATTAATATTTGTTATGTTTTATTGTAATTATTTCTAAATGACTTTCGTGTTGAATTCAATGGCAAAATATGACGAGGAAACATAACATGTATTCAAGTTTCCTTTGTTAAATTATGAAAAAATTGGCAGATATAATCATTGTGTATAGGTTTCTTGGAATTTGTGTATTGTTACCTGTATAATATATCTTACATAGTATATTTTAGATACATAATGGTCTGCATGCGTTTAATGTCTCATCGTAAAGATATAAGTTTACAAGTAAATGTTGCTTGTGTGAGAAATAAGAGAAAGGGAGAGAAAAGAGACCAATCGTTAAACACACGATCGTATTTTTTCGTTCCGTTGCCGAGCGCATATACGTTATTATAGGTCTTTTTTTAATTATCTGTATGCTATGAAGCCGCACATCGCTACAAAGCGATGATTATCTTATAGTCAATTTTGTCGTCTGTCGTGAAAATTTCGAAGCAGTCCCAGTGTACGATACCGTCTAATAAGTGCATGTTGACGACAAAGAGAACAACGATAAGCAAATTTGTAATTAGAAGGGTTGATAACTTCTTTCATGGCAGACTCGTTTTTGTGAACTGAGAGTAACAATGTTCTTACTTTATTCGACTTAGTATTCTGTCGTTACTTGTTGCTTAAAAATAAAACAGGATATAAGGACACGTGATTGTATATTTCACGTTTGATGTGTGACAAATAGTCAGAAATAGTTTTATTTCTTTTCAACTTAATCGCGCAATAAATCTTCCAGGTACTCTATGCACTAATATCGCTAATATATTGATAATTTCTATAAAATTATATATTTCCTACTATTGTTCGTACTGAAACAAGATTGCGAATATTACGAAAATAAGATATTTTGCATTTATTAATTGCTATATATTTTTAGTTATAAAAATAGGAGTAATATTTACCGTATAAGAAATGTGCGCAACACTTTCACGCACTTCTTATTATTTATGTAGTTCTTAGAAGCAGAAGAGCTATTGAATATGATTGGTTTAGGATCTAGGATGTGCAAATTCGAATATTTAACGAAATGTTTTCAAGTATGAATAAATTCATAATATATTAATTAAATAAAGGAAGACAATATATAAAAACTCACCGCCATAAACGAGGACAAAGACAGATTAAATTTTTCAAATCGCGACAGTTTACACTCCAAATTATTAGCCATTATCATCATTATAAATGTACGTCTTAAGAACGTCCCGTGTTCGTACCACTTTTCGTGAAAGGCATTATCTGTTATTTCGACACCCTGCGTTAGATACAAACATATATTTCTAACGTATGTTCATTAACGTAGCGAACTGTGGAATGCAAATGTTCATTAACGTAGCGAGCTGTAGATTGCAAATGTTCAAATTGAATTTGGCTCAAAGCTGGAGATTTTCTATCACGATAATAATCATAAAATCAACACTCAAGAAGAGAAGAACTTACCGCATCTAATAGTTGTTGTACGCAATAACACAATAAGTAGAGTTGAACCATTCCACCGCAGGCGTACAAGATCACCGCGGAGCCTTCCACGAAACCCGTAGATGATACCTGAAGTTTCATGAAGACATATCGCTGATATACTATAACCGATAATAATGCACGATAGAATGCGAAGTTGCTCGCGCAGGTCATCTATCGTTAAGAATCACATAGCCAATTATCTAGGGGCCATCTAATTGATGCGCGTTAGAGATGATTTTACTCACTACTAATATCATGAAAGCAATAGCGCAAAAGCGGAAAACGTTGTTCACGTATATTAAACTGAAGTTCAGCGATAGCAGCTCTTTCAACATAAGCATCACGCTGAAACAGGAGGACGTACAGCACACACATTGCATTAAAGATTTAATCAAAGAAATAAATTTCTCATTAGGCTACTAATCGTAATCGAATTGACAAGAAATCCGTCTATTTGCGCATTGTAAATTACTTCATGTTTAATTGTAATATTCGTAATATCTCAGGCTGACTGAATTCTTTCCTATAAAGAAAGTATAATAAAAAATGATTTACACTTTCTCATCTTCTCGAGGATCATTAGAAATCGTACTCACTAAAGCATAGCGTTGTGATGTTGACACAACGCTTTGATCTGCTTTTTCGTGCGTCGGTCCGCCTCAAGATAACATTCTTTCCCGACAGGAGTATTGAGATTATTTCTTGGACAGCATCCGTCTTTTATTATCAACGATAGCTTCAACGCGATATATCGATACTGCGCTGTCACCAGTAGTATCAAATGTATCATATAAGTGTCCGCGGCGATCTTCTTCGTGAAAATGTACGCGCTGCTGGTCGACACGATGAGGCTTCCCACCACGAAGACCGCGGTGGAGAACGGCTCTGTGCCGAAAGCAACCGGCATCTTGTAATCTAAGTAGAAGAAGCGATCCTTCTGAAAGATCAACACATACGGCGGGCTGCACCACAAGATTACAGACACTACGCCGGCTGACCAACAGAACTTGAGAGGAATATCCATCGACTTGAGTGTCGTTCTCACGGTACTCCGCATCAGCTCGTCATCCAAGAGCATGATACTGTTCAGCTTCTCGATTAAGCGTTGTATCAGTCCCCTGCACGTGTGTAGTCGCATGACTACGAAGAACACCTCAAATGTGATCGCGACGCCGATCATGCCGTCCTTTAAAGCGTTCTCCGTCGGCACGAGGAAGCAGCCTGGGATTAATATACTTATTTGAGTGATCTCCAGCAGCCATATCACAATGCTGTATATCTGCCAGTATATAGGAAACGACGACCCGTCGGTCATCGGTAACAGGTTGCCTGACACTTTGTTCAATCGAACATTGAGGGGATTCACGCTTTGAAAGTCCATCGAGATCGCTCTTTCTCATCTGCTGAATTGTTCTGCGAAAAAAAGCGCGTGATGATTGTACGATCGAATTGATAAACTCGCCAACATTGAATGCATGACCATAATGTGTTCAAGATATCTTTCACTGTTTTGTATGTGTTATATTTTGGTTAAACTGATCTTGATTGATGGTCTTTATTTCAAACTAATATTTTCCAATCCAAGTAAAGCGGAGAAGTTTAATTAGTTACCGTTTCCGAAAACGTGAACTCGCTGCATGGAGTAAACAGCCACTCCTCACGCGAAGGATGAAGAGTAGAGGGATGTAGGAAACTTTATATTTGTATTGATCTCTATTTCACATACACGTTTCCTTTACGTTCGTGTCTGTTACCATTTATCGATAGGAATACGAGTGACACTTCTGCCACGTCCTGCGGACTTTGATCAATTAAATTTCGACTTTCTATTTCTTCGCGACTTCCTTTAATATACTATTCTATCGTACGTGGACGATCGGAGAACCGTCCGTTTGTTTTGCTATAATTGTACATCTAATAAAAGAGTATTTCTCAAAATGATATCGTTCGTTTTATTAAGATAGAGATCAGTACAACTTTGTGATTAATATCAAGCAATTATCTTATTATCTTATGGCGCACTGTTCTTCGTGGCGATTCGATAGAGCCACAGTTTAACAATAGAATCTAACGCTGCTAATACAGCAGCGTTTTTGCAGCAACATTCAGTCTTCTGCAGACACTAGTTCACGGCTCGAATAACAAGTCGATGCTTGTAGTACATCGCAGCAACATTCTCAAAGCGAGTTATCTTACCGTGTGTCTCCAGTGAGAGTGAGTTTATTGATCTTCCGCGTACGTTATATATTTATACGTTGCCAGCTGTCACTAAAATGTTCAATTTTTTAAAAGTCTTCATTAGATTTCTGAGAATATTATTATTTTTTTCTGAATTTGATACCCAAATAATTTGCGTTTACTTGATGAATTTTATTACTGACTTGAAGAGATACACAATCTCATATTATGCTGTAATTTATTTTGACGATTTACTAAACACATTTTCAGACTTCCATTATATGAATTATTATTCAGTTTTATTGTAATTGTTTCTATGATTGTTTCTATAATTGTTTAATGACTTTTGTTGGAGACAAAAATTATAAGATTGGGACAGTTATTCAACGGGAAAAAAATGTATCATATTCTTTTCATCTACATCTATCGTGTTATTAATCATCATATTCCGTATAATATTTGGATTTTGATTTTATTACTAATTTTTAATCAAACTATAAATTTTTAGTGTATTATTTACTAAAATAGTATTTGCGAATTTTATTGAAATGAAAACTTTTCTTTATTTGTGATGTGACACATTGATAATATTGTTGCGCTTGCGTTACCGGAAATGCAACGGTTTCGATGATCCCGGGAGAAAAGCGAAGGAGCGCGGTTGACAAAGGGGAGTAACGACAGCTGCATGAGTTGACAGCGAGTCATAGTCGCGAGCGAATGTGATTCGACTGTATTGATACTGGACGAGCCCTCAAAATGTTGCGCTCGCGCTTGTACTCGCGATGGTGCACGGAGGAAATGAACATACAATTATAAAAGAACGAGAAGCTGTACTATGTACAGCGAAACACGTCTTTACAAGTATCAGTATCAATACATAGTCAAAACCCGTCGCGACTATGACTCGTTGTCAACTCAGTCAGCTGTTGTTTACTCCTCGTCAGCTGTTGTTACTCCCCGCTGTCAACCGCGCCCTTTCGCTTATCTCCCTATACCGGGATTTCTCTATACAGGATACCTTGTCTCTCTATACCTATCGAAACCGTTGCATCTTCGCTAACGCGGGCGCAACAATATGTAACATATTGCCATATACATTTCTCATGCACGCGCAACGTTGCTTCCTTTATTTTCTAGTCATTTTCAGAATCAGAAGAGCGATCGAATATGACTGATTTAAAATCTGAAAGTTAAAAAGATTATTAAGAAATTACGATAGGTTATCTTGAATAACAATTTGCCGATTACAAGTAATCGCTACGACAAACGAAAAGATCTCACCGCCATAAATGAGGGCAAAGACAGATTGAATCTTTCAAAGGTTGAAAGTTTAAACCCTACGTTACTAGCCATTATAATTAGCATGAACGTGCGTTTCACGCACGGTCCAAATCGATACCAGTCTTCGTGGAACGCTTCATCCGTTATCTTCGTGCTCTAAAAAAACACGACACACAATAGAATGTTAGTTTTAATCGTCTGGTATTCTCGCGCACGATTAAATTCTATCATATCTTGATGCTTGTAAAAATGAAACATATGTACGAAATCTGACAATTATTTCATTGCATTTGGGAAAGTTGAAAACTGTATGGATGTATTTCGATGAAACTTACCGCGTCTAACAATTTGTGGACGCAAGAACACAATATGTACAATTGAACGATTTCGCCGCACGCGAAAGTGCAGACTGCTAATCCTTCGATGACAGATGTGGACGGTATCTAAAGTTTCACGACAAGACACTTCGCTGCTATAACTTATAATAATTCACGCGTTGAATACGCGAAACGTCACGTTTATATAGTCGTGATTTCATTCGTCAAGTAATTGACGCCAAAAGAAAACTACTCACCGCGAATATCAAGATAGCGATGGAGCAGAATCGAAACACGCTGTTCACGTATATCAGACTGAAGTTCAAAGACAGCAATTTCTTCAGCATTAATGTTAAGCTGAAACAGAGAGTCGTTTCCTATGTTTGCACAGGCATTTATCTTTAAGGATCTCGAGAGACATTTGAAAGTACAATTAATTTCTTTTTACTCGTCCAAGTTCAAAATATTTCGAACTAACGTTTCGCGCAATAATAACGCCGAGTAACTTCTCGAAAACGTCGCTTACTTTATAGCAAGGATGTGATGCCGACATAAGCCTTTGAGTTTCGTTATCGTGGTGCAATCTGCCCACGCACGATAACCTTTACGAAGGTCACAGTGATTATTCTGCCGATTACCGTCTCGAAATATCGACACGAGCTTTCGAGAGGTGTACAGATGCTGCACCGTTATCATCAGGACGAGATGAGTCATGTACACATCCACGGCGACTTTCTTGATGAAAATAAATACGTTACTGATCAGCACTGAAATGTTGATCAGCACGAAATCCACGGTGGAGTACGGTTCTTTGCAATAGACCAACGGCGTCTGCAAATCCACGTAGTAGAAGGTATTTCTCTGTAAAATCAACGGCAATGGTAGGCAGCTCCATACAAAGGTGGCCATCACGCCGGCGACCCAGTAAAACTGCAGCGGGGCTTTTATAGACCTTAAGGTCGTCGTCAAGACGTCCTGCATTACTGCGTCCTGTACGCGCAGGTTTTCGTTCAGTTTTCCGATCAACTCCCGCACCAACGCCTTCTGCGTGTAAATTCGCGTGATTATCACAGACACTTCTACGACTATCACTACGCTGATCATGCCGTTCTTTATGATCTTCTCTACCGGTATGTAGAAGAAGCCGGATATCAAACCGTACATGTAAGTCAGGAGCAACAACCAAGTGATGACTCCATACAATCTCCAGAAGAGCGGGAATGACGAAACATCGTTGGTCATCGGCAGAAGATTGCCTGAGATCAGGTTCATCCAAAGATTCATTGCGCTCATACCTTGGAAATCCATGCTGTTAACGTTGCTGCAGAATTGAGCGAAACAGAGGGACGCAGCGACTGAGATCTCAATCAATTCATCAGTCCACTCATTCACGATCACCATCCATTCACATACGCTCACTGAACATTTCGTGAAACGGGCTGAGCATGGCTCTCCGATGGTCAGGCTTGATTCATACTGACTTCTTATGAATCGTTTTTGGTTCACGATTTGCTCGATTAGCGAAGTTCCTCTTCTGTCTCATTAAGATGGAGTTTCGAATCAACGTAAAGGGAGGCAGTTCAATTAATTGGCTATAATTGTCGCACGCTCGTTTCGCATGATAAATAGTCGCTTTTAGCTTGATATTAGTATTTACATTTCCGCGCTTGTCGATCTAATCCAGAAGAACGTTCAGAAGACATTCTCGCCGTTGTTTAAAAGTCGCTCGCGAACTTTGGATGACCCATTAGTTGTCTAGGATCTTCTTTTCGCCCTTCGTTAATATATTATGCGTTGACCGTGCGGCAAGACGGAGACGCGCATCCTACTTTATAATTACTGACGCATTAACCCGCGACCATTAGTCAAATACATTGGAAATTAATCATCGTTAACAATATCGCTGTCCTCATCACGTAGCAAATAATTCAGAGGGAACGTCGTGTACTATTCTTATGAACGTTAAAAGAATTCATAAATTGATCGTTCCGATAATCATCGGCAGTTTATCCGAGTACATGAATATTTTATTTACTATGTCCTCAATGAGGATATAAAGTTTAATCTAATTACCTTGATGTGTGTTATTACCGTGGAGCAGTAATTATAGTGCAATCGTAAAATCCGAAAAAGCAACTTAACACGTGAGTAATCTAAGACGTAAAGGTGTGTGATGTGTATTGCAGATTCCATATCTCCCGTCGTGTTAGATAAGTAAACTTTTTATTGTTTCTTAGTCTTAAGATCTACACATTTGACTAATATCGTTTACATATCGAGTTATTATAGGCTACACTAGAAGAGAAGTGGAAAATTTTACAAAGATGAATAACAAGAAGAATATGTTCTGAAAAATTTATATATTCATTTTCATATTTAGTTTCTGAACAATGAGATGTATATTTATCGAACATGTGTGAAACGTTACCAAACTCATTGCTTCTCAACTAGTCCTTAAGAGCAAAAGGGCTGATATTGAATAAACTTCATTTATAATCTGAAATATTGTTGAAAACTTTACAGAAAAAAAGCATCTGTGAAAAAATAGGAATTAATAAAAATACATACCAGTACATCAATCACATGAGAAGGATACGTAAAACTTCACCGCCATGAGTGAAACGCTGTTTAATCTGTACTTTTAATATAGATTAATCTTTTCTACAAAGTACTTCAAATTACATTATTTTTTAGATCGTTGAAAAATTCCTTTTTGGATGCTCTGTAAAACTAATTGTCACTTTTATCCGCGCTTATTTAATATTCTCTCAGGTACAAATTATAAAAACAATAGAATGTTCTACTGAGAAAACGATGTCTCTCGTCACGTTTCAGCTGGTCTTTAAAAGCAAAAGAGCTATCGAATAGGATTGATTTAGGATCTAAAATATGTTATTCGACGAGTGTTATACAGAACTTTATAATAAAATTATACGTTATAAAATCACACGCGGAAAACTCACCGTCATAAACGAGGGCAAAGATAGATTGAATTTCTCAAACGTTGCGAATTTACATTCCAAGTTATTTGCCATTATCATAAACATAAATGTACGTTTTACGGATAGTTCCTGTAGATACCATTCCTCGTGGAACGCTTTGTCTGTTATTTCAACGGTCTATATTACAAACAAAACAGTATTATATGTCTATTAGCATATTTCCTGTTCTCTTGTATTGTAATATTTATACAAGTTTTGTCGACGTAATTTTCGTGACGTTTTGAGGACAAGATCAATTGTAGAGATTAATAATCGTTTAATAAACTGTCTTCAATCTTTGTCAATGAGTTATCAAATCGTTATAAGATATAAAGAGCATTCTTCATCGTTTACCGCGTCTAATAATTGTTGCACGCAAGAGCACAGTATGTAAAGCTGTACTATTCCACCGCTTGCGTACATGACGATCAAGGAACCTTCCAACACAGTCGTTGACGGTATCTAAAGTTTTATGAATCATACATAATCTATTTATATATTATAAATGAAAAAAATTTGCCCGATAAGCCGCAATAACATTCTTGGAAATTTATATAATTCATATTAGAAATTATTACTCACTGCTAGCACCATAATACCGACAAAGCAAAATCGAATAACGCTATTGACATATAGCAAACTAAAGTTTAAGGACAGTAGCTCTTTTAACATGAAGGTAACGCTGAAACAGCGCATAGAATATACATGTTCGTACAATATATTATATTACAGAAAGAGGATCGAATGGACAATGCATGACATAATTAATTATGAAAAAAATTTATTTGCATAATTGCGTGTATCGCAATAGAATATTTTGTGTATGATGCGTACATGATTTAATATTAGTCACTTTTTGGAGAGTAAGAGAATAATTTTTCTTTATGCTAACATCCTATTTTTGGCAAATGTACTTACTGAACAACAGAGTTATGATGTTGGCATATCATTCTGATCTGTTTTTCCATGAATCGACCGACTTTAGAATAATTTCCCTTGCCGATGGGATCGTTGCGATTGTCTCGCGAAGTCTCACCTCGAAATATCGTCGAGAGCTTCAGCGCGATGTAACGATATTGTGCCGTTATTAGTAGCGTCAGATGTATCATGTAAGTGTCCACGGCGACCTTCTTCGTGAAGATGAGTGCACTACTGGTCATTACGATAAGGCTGCCTACCACGAAGGTGCCGGTCGACAACGGCTCTTTGCCGTAGGCGACGGGCATTCTGTAATCCATGTAAAAGAAGGATGTTTTTTTCAAGACCAATATAAACGGCGCACTGCTCCAAAGAACTATGGACATCACTCCGGCCGACCAATAGAACTTCAGCGGGATCTCCATCGACTTCAGGGTCTCCGTCGTAATATTCCGCATCATCTCGTCCTCCAAGCGCAGAATCTCATTCAGTTTCCGAATCAGTCGTTGCACCAGTCCCCGACGCGTGTGGATTCGTAGAATTACGAAGATTACTTCCAGGGTGATCGCGATACCGATTAAGCCGTCCTTCAGAGCCTTCTCCTTCGGCACGATGAAGCAGCCGGGAATTAATATGCTCATTTGAATAGACTCCAGTAACCATGTCAAGATGCTGTACATCTGCCAGAGTATCGGAAACGACGATCCATCGGTGACCATTGGCAGCAGGTTGCCCGAGATCTTGTTCACTCGTACATTGAAGGGATTCACACTTTCAAAATCCATTTAGAACCGCTATATTTGTCTTTTACACAGTGAATTGTTCTGCAAAAAAGTAAGAGCGCGAAAACACGAGATGGATTTTGCATTTACCTCTGAAATTTCACGCACGCGTTTATCGCGTGTTTGCTGCTTTCTGCCATAAAGAACGTGTGCAATATTTCCAAGAGGGTGTAAAACTGCTAACAGATATTGATCCGACCGATCGTATCCCTCTCGAATATCTACTTCTTCTGTGAATTCTTTATTAATGTATTGTTCTATCATGCGAGACGCTCGACGACATTCCGTTTCTTTTGTAGCAATTGCCGCGGTGAGTCTTGTAATTATCGTCTGACTGTACACGTCGAATATACAACGGACTTTTCAACGGAGAAGAGACTCTGTATTGTGTTGCGAGAAAACAAAGGAACGTAGGAATAAATATCGCGAGAATAGGCGACTATTTCTTGTAGTGCTGTATTTATTTTGTTTAGTACAGGGCTGGGTGCGCGCTCATCAAGCTCTTTACTAGTGAACTGCGTGCAAGTCATTATCTTATGGCGCGTAATTGGTTGTTTCAGAGCCACGGAAGGCACTTTTCCGTCAAGGGAAAACCGTAGTATCTGACGTGCATTTCATGGATGCAATACCGCAGCAGGTGTTTGGATATGCTAATATTAATCTGTGAAGTATCTCAAAGCAGTGTTATAATCTTGTTTCGGAAGATCGGAAAAACAACTAGACTTTCGTACATCATAGAACATTGTGGGGTGAGTAAAAATCACTTTTACACTTTTATTAAGTCAACAATTTCAATTCAATTGGCACCTACCGCACTACTGTCGTCTTGACTGTAATAAAACTTGATTAATAATTATATTGTAATAATACTGACGTGTGATAGCATCATGCGTTTAATATCTTCAAATTGTTTTACGAAGTGTTTTCTAAAATAGTTAGCATAGAAAATCAGAATTGATTGTTACAAGAGACGAAAGTTAAATGCTTGTTAATGTTGTAATGTTAAGTCAAATTAATCGCTCTCAATATTTCCTCTTTCGTCCAGAATAAGAATAATACTTTCCTAATTGTTTTTTTCGCTGACCAAGTGTTAGTATTAAGGCTGTAATGCAAAGGAACTAGTTCTCGTATTACATCAAAAGAAATTATAATAATTAATTTAGGATCTTTTCTCTATTATTAATAATTATTATCTAGTGCGCTAAGCATAATGGCGATAAAGCAAAACCGAAAAACGCTGTTCATGTAAATTAGACTGAAGATTAATGACAGTAATTTCTTTAGCGCGAATATCATTCTGAAAAGAAGTGTGAGCAATGTATATGTGATAAGTATTAGCGCCGAGCAGTCGTTATTATAGTGCAATTGTGGAATCCGAAAAAATAACCATTTGATATGTGCTAGGCGTACAGTAAATTCCCTCGAATCTGAAATTCAATTTCTTGCACAACATGTTTCGGAGCAGGTCGTTATTTAACGTCCTGTTAATGACAAATTTTCAAAAGTAATAAAATATAGAGTTAATACAATATAGAGTTAATACAATATAGAGTTAATCTTATATAGAGTTAATACAATTTTACTACTTGTACATACCTATTGTCAAAGAAAAATACAGCTGTAATCTAAGACGTGATGTACGTAAAGGTGTGTGATTTGTATTACAGATTCCATGTCTCACGTCGCGCGCGCTAGTTAGACTTTTTATTTTCTGAGTTTTAAAATCTATATATTTGACTAATATTGTTTATATGTTGAGTTATTATGGACTACACTGGAACAGAAGTGAAATTGTACAAAATGAATAACAAGAGCAATCTGTTCTGAGAAATTTATATATTAATTTTCATATTTAGTTTCTGAACAATGAGATGTATATTTATCGAGCATATGTGAAACGTGCAAGTTACCAATCTCATTGCTTCTCAACTAGTCCTTAAGAGCAAAAGGGCTGATATTGAACAGGCTTAATTTATAATTTGAGATATTGTTGAAAACTTTATAGAAGAAAAGCATCCGTGAAAATATGGGAATTAATAAAAATACATACCAGTACATCAATTACACGAGAAAGATGCGTAAAAATTCACCGCTATGACTGAAACGTTATTCAATCTGTACTAGAAAATCAGTTTTAATACGAAGTAATCTTTTTTACAAAGTATTTCAAATCACATTACTTTCTAGATTATTGAATAATTTCTTCTTTGTATGCTCCGTAAAATTAGTTGTCCACTTTTATCCACGCTCATTGTATTTTTTAATATCCTCTTAGTTACAAATTTATAAGAACAACAGAATGTACTAGTGAGTAAACGATGTCGCTATCTCGTCACGTTTCAACTGGTCTTTAAAAGCAGAAGAGCTATTGAATAGGATTGATTTAGGATCTGAAATTCGACAAATTATAAGGAACTTTATAATAAAATTATAGTACTGTGAATCGCACTCGGAAAACTCACCGCCATTAACGAGGGCAAAGATAGATTGAATTTCTCAAACATCGCGAGTTTGCATTCCAAGTTATTTGCCATTATCATAGATATAAATGTACGTTTTACGGATGGTTCCTGTAGATACCATTCCTCGTGGAACGCTTTGTCTGTTATTTCAATGGTCTATATTACACACAAAACAGCATTATGTGTCTATTAGCATATTTCTCGTTCTCTTGTATTATAATATTTAGAAAAGTTTTGTCGACAACGCAATTTTCGTGATGTTTTAAGGATAACAAGATCAATTGTAGAAATTAATAATCATTATATAAACTTTAATCTTTGTCAATGAGATATCAAGCGTAAAGAGACGTAAATTGTTTCTTCATTGTTTACCGCGTCGAGTAACTGTTGCACGCAAGAGCACAATATGTAGAGCTGCACTATTCCACTGCCTGCGTACATGACGATTATCAAACCTTCCAACATAGTCGTTGATGGTATCTGAAGTTTTATGAATCACACATAATCTATTTATATATTATAAATGAAAAGAGTTTGCCCGATAAACCGCAATAACATTCTTGGAAGTTTATATAATTCACATTGAAAATTCTTACTCACTGCTAGCACCAAAATACCGATAAAGCAGAATCGAAATACGCTGTAAACATATAGCAAGCTAAAGTTTAAGGACAGCAGATCTTTTAGCATGAACGTCACGCTGAAACAGAGCGTACAATATATTATATTACAGAAAGAGAATTAAATGAACACTGTATGAGATAGTTAATTATAATAAAAAATTTATCTGCACAATTGCGTATATCGCAATAGAATATTTTGTGCATAATCCGTACATGATTTAATATTAATCAAATTTTTCGAAGAAACAGAATAATTTTTAATATACAAACAAATCATACAAGCTCTGCAGATCAAATCTATGAAATGATTGATACGGACATATAGAGCCAAGCTAGTGTTGTGAATTTGCGTCTTGAACATAACAACACTAGCTTTGACGAATTGCATAGACTATACTTGACTTTATACCACTTATTGAAGAGGACTACATTCAATGGTCGAAACGTCTATTGTGTATTTATTAATTTTTTAGTAAACACGTAACAACTGTAACTTGGCTCTATATGTCCGTTTTATAGAATAATCATTTTATAGAATAATTTTTCTTTATGCTATCCTATTTTCAGCAAATGTACTTACTGAACAACAGAGTTATGATGTCGACACACCGCTCTGATTTGCTTTTCCGTGAATCGATCAACTTTAGAATTTCCCCTGCCGATGGGATCGTTGCGATTGTCTCGCGGAGTCTCACCTCGAAATATCGCTGAGAGCTTCAGCGCAATGTAACGATATTGTGCCGTTATCAGTAGCGTCAGATGTATCATGTAAGTGTCCACGGCGACCTTCTTCGTGAAGATAACCATATTGCTGGTCATTATGATAAGACTGCCTACCAGGAAGGTGCCGATGGATATCGGCTCTTTGCCGTAGCGGATCGGCATTCTGTAATCCATGTAAAAGAAGGATGTCTTTTCCAAGATCGTTACAAGCGACGTACTGCTCCAAAGAACTATGGACATCATGGCGGCCGACCAATAGAACTTCAGCGGGATCTGCATTGATTTCATGGTCTCCGTCGTGATATTCCGCATCATCTCGTCCTCCAAGCACAAAATCTCGTTTAGTTTCCGAATCAGTCGTTGCACCAGTCCCCGACGCGTGTGGATTCGTAAAGCTATGAAAAACACCTCCAGGGTAACCGCGATACCGATCAAGCCGTCCTTCAGAGCCTTCTCCTTCGGCACGATGAAGCAGCCGGGAATTAATATGCTCATTTGAATAGACTCCAGTAACCATGTCAAGACGCTGTATATCTGCCAGAGTATCGGAAACGACGACCCGTCGGCGACCATTGGTAGCAGGTTGCCCGAGATCTTGTTCACTCGTACGTTGAAAGGATTCACGTTTTCGAAGTTCATTTAGAACCGCAATTTTTGTCTTTTACACAGCAAATCGTTCTGCAAAAAACGAAGTGACAGCGCGAAGACGCGAGACAGATTTTACTTTTGCATTTTGCATTAACTCTGAAATTTCACGGACGCGTCTATCGTGTTTGCTGCTTTCTACCAGGAGGAGCGTGCGCAATATTTCTAAGAGGGTGTAAAACTACTAGCAGACATTGACTGACCGATCGTATCCCTCTCGAATTTCTACATCTTCTTTACGCTCTTTATTAATGTATTGCTCTATCATGCGAAATGCTCGACGACATTCCGCTTCTTTTGTGGCAATTACCGCAATGAGTCTTGTAATTATCGTTCGACTGTACTCGTCGAACTATACGACGGACTTCAGAGAAGACTCTGTATTGTGTCGTGAGGAAACAAAGCAAGCCGGGAATAAATATCGCGAGAATAGCCGACTATTTTCTGTAGTACTGCATTCGTTTTGTTTACAGGTAGTACAGGACTGGGTGCGCGTCCATGAAGTTCTTTGCAATTACAAATAACCGCGAGCAAGTCATTATCTTATGGCGTGTCGTTGGTTGTTCCATAGCTACGGAATCCGCCACGGGAAAACCGCAGTATCTGACACGTATTTCATGGATACAATACCGCAACAGGTGTTTGGATGTTCCAACATTAATCTGTAAAGTATCTCAGAGCAGTTTTATACTTTTGTTTCGGAGGATTAGAAAAACAACTGGATTTTCGTACATCATAAAACTTTATAGGGTGAGTAAAAAGCACTTTTACACCTTAAGTCAACAACTTGAATCCAATTGATACCTATCACACTATTCTCGAGTTGACTGTGATAAAACCTGTGATATTGAGCAACGCGAAAATGCAGATCGATAAATTTACAGGTCTTTATTCGTTGCTTAGAAAATAGGTACAGCTACTATGTGTATTTGGAATATATCAGTTTTCACTGCATTTTTAGAAACAGCAAGGCGACGGAATACGATTGATTTAAGATCTAAAAAGATCATTCAAAGAATTAGAAGAAAAGGGTATATGACGATGCCGTATTATATTGATATCGTTATGATGTATTATAAGAGATGTAAGGGAGATAAATGTGAAATCTTACTGTCATTAGCGAAGGTAGAGATAGATTGAACTTGTCGAAAGTCGCGAGTTTGCATTCCATGTTATTCGCCATTATCAGGAACATGAAAGAACGTTTCACTGACGGTCCGAAGCGGTACCAATCCTCGTGAAATGCTTCATTCGTCAGTTCTGTACTCTAAATTAAATGCGAAAGAACAATACATACATAAAAACTCTCTTGAACACAATCTTAAATTTAATATCTTAAATAGTAAACCTATTTCACTGTAAACGTGGAACAAATATTAAGAAAGGGTTGATGTTATTGCGAATAATTAAAATATGGGAGGATAATAATGTTCGACAACGTAAACTTACGCGCCAAACATTTTTTACAACTTTAACACAAGGAATAAAAAAGTTTAGCTGGATTTCTGGTGACATATCAACAAACTAGAAAATTCCGGTTGATGTCATGAGATTTCTGTTCAAGTTCATCAGAAATGTTGTGAGTTTTATTAAAGTTTTGGTAACTTCAACCGGAATTTTTGGTTCGTTTATATTTTACCAGAAATTCGGTTAATCCAACAAAACTTCTTTTTCCATGTAGAAATTAAAATAAATGAACAATTGAGATTTTAAAAAGAGGAGAATTAATTAAATATAACAATTGGAATTCAGGATCGAGTTTGACGTGGAAGGTTTGATTTATCGCACACTGATCTTACATTTCTATTCATTACGATAACTGAAACTTCATTCTTTACAGAACAAAAAGTTCGCAATAATTTGAAAATTATTTCTTTGCTTTTACAGCTGACAGTATGGACGATACATATTACGTAAGACTTACCGCGTCTAACAGTTGCTGCACGCCGGAGCACAGCGTGTAAAGCTGTACCATTGCGCCGGATGTATACGCAAGGATCAAGAATCCTATCAAGAGAGGCTGCGATGGTATCTGAAGTTTGACGAAAATACGTCGCTCATACGCTCTAATATAATGATAAATCACACTGACGCGCGATAGCATCACGCGTTCAATGTTTTCGAATTTTTTACGAAACGTTTCCTAAAGCAGTTAGCATAGAAAACCAAGATTGATTGTTACAAGAGAGCAATGTTAAATGCTTGTTAATGTTGTTAATGCTGCCAAATTAATCAATATTCATTCTTTCGTTCGTAATAACACTTAAAAAATATTATTATTAAATAATAACATTTTCCTAATTGTCTCTTTTTTTCGTTAAATATTAGTATCAAGATTGTGATACAAAGAAACTAGTTCTCGTATTACATCAACAGAAATTGTAATAATTATATAGCCTAGGATCTTTTCTCTATTATTAATAATTATTACCTACTGCGCTGAGCATAATGGCGATAAAGCAAAATCGAAAAACGCTGTTCACGTAAATTAGACTGAAGATTAATGACAGCAATTTCTTCAGCGCAAACGTCATTCTGAAAAGAAAAGTGTGCAATGTATACCGATGAGTACGTGTGTAGACGTAATTTAGGCTGCGAAACGGACGTTCAGTCAGAAATATTCCGAAATTTTCAACGTAAACTTCAAGAATCGTAGTCGTGAGCATCTCAGCGAAAGTTCGCCAGTACTTACTGAACGACGGCATTGTGACGTCTGCATAACGCTCTCATCTCTCTTTCCGCCCGTCGGTTCATCTCGAAATCAAATCTCTCCTGAGAACCATCGTCACTTGGCGCAAAATTTCCCCCGCGAAAAATCTCGGCGAGTTTGACCGCGATGTATCGATACTGCGTCGTCATCAGCAGCACCAGGTGTATCATGTACACGTCCGCGCCGACCTTCTTCGTGCAGTTGTACATAGTGCCAAGGAACACCACGAGGCTCCCCATGAGAAAAGTGCCGGTGGAAAACGGCTGTTTCGAAAAGGCGGCCGGCATGCTGTAATCTTCATAGGTGAAGGTATTCTTCGTGAATACTACCGCGATCGCCGCACCATTCCAAGAGGCTATCGCGAATACGGCGGTCGCCCAGTAGAACTTGAGCGGCCGATCCGTAGGGTTTAGGGTCGCTCGGACGACGTTTCTCATGATGTCGTCGTCGGCGCTCAGTATATCGTTCAGCTTCCCGATCAGCCGCATCACCAGACACCTGCACACGTGAATCCGCGCGACTATGAAGAACAGCTCGGTGGAGACCACGATGGTGGTGGTGCCGTTTATTAAAGCCTCTTCCACCGGCACGAACATCATCCCCAGGAACAGAGCGACAAGCTGAGTCAGCTGAAGTAACCACACAAGAGCACTGTATATCTTCCAAGTCCCTGGGAACAGCTTGTCGCCGGCGGACATCGGCAACAAATTGCCTGAGATCGCGTTCAGCCGGACGTTCAGTGGGTTCACGTTTTCGAAGTCCATGGTCTCTCGCGACGCGCGCCGGGACATTCTATAAGATATAGCTGGATATAGTCGCTATTATTTGCGTAGGCCGCTATTTTAGTACAAAGGGAATTCGCACAAAGGGAATTTTGTTCGCTTATCTACCTCTGTTTATGTTCCCACCGTCGTGTCGCTCTTCATCCCGTGCGGAAAACAAGCGCGTGACTTCCGCGTTGACCTTTGAAAGTGGGGTCGTCTTCGTCGATTTATTATTCTCGTTGAACTCTTCGCGCATCTTATTAATACAATATATGTCGCTGTGAGACCAACGTTCCATTTGACTCGTTCATACTGTCGACTTCGATCCTTTAATTGCTGCCTCGAGTTTTCCGAAATACAAGTATCGTTGTCGACGACAATATGCGTGTCTTCAAGTAAATGACTCGAGGAAGATAAATTGTAGCTCGAGATGAACCTGTGCTTCATTATAGAGAATACGGAGGAATTTATAAAAAAACGTCGCAGTACTTTGCGGACCGGTTGATTGAAGCTCTCACGTTTCATTTGCGAGCTTCTTTGTAATTAAACTCGCGCTACGAAGCAACGATTATCTTATAGCGTTTCACATTGACGGTCACAAAAATCGCTAGAACTGATGAACATTGTACTTAACTCGGTCACTCTGCTGGCACCTAAACTGAATTAAACAGGAAGTATCGTGGATACTTTGTCCAGTAAACAGAACCGCAAAATCTATTTCTCGTGTATATTCGCGCGAATCTCTATCATCAATATATTTGGCAAATATGGAAGATATGGGAGACGGCAAAATCAATATACTGAGTCCCAGCTGATCATTTTATAGAATTTGCAATTACGTACGCGCGATAAGAAACACCCCTTTAGTTAAATTGCAATGATATAATCATGACGAGAGAATATTTGTCTTCACGCGTTCTTTGATACTGCAAGAAGTTTCTAATGATTCGATAAGATATAAAAATTGAAACAGCAACATTCTATTAGTTTTATTATTTCCTGGTACACTATTTAGCTATAGATACATATGCATTGTAGCATAAACATTAGTGTTTTTATTTAGTCCCTGACTTCTATCGGACGTTTTCATTTTCTTTAAAGATTTGGTTGAAATAAAACACATGAATATATTTTAACGGGAGAAGAATAATTTGCTACATTATATCAATTTGCATCGTAAAATCAAAAAGTGACAACTATCGTACGATGTTCCTGGTCACTTCTTATTTCATCTTTAGAAACAGAAGAGTGATTGTATAAGATTAATTTAGAATCTAAAGAAGAAAATATGATAAATTTGGTAAGATGAGACTTCCGATATGTAAAAGTATCATAGAACTGGAATAAGTGACATAAAATCTCACCGTCATGAACGAAGATAGGGAAAGATTAAAATTTTCGAACATTGCGACTTTGCACTCCAAATTATTGGCTGTAATTAGTAACATAAATATACTCTTTATCAATGATCCGGACATATACCATTCACAATGAAATGCTTCGTCCGTTACCTGCGTACTCTGTCATGCATATAAAAAGGATAACGCATGACAAGATAGACTTATTAATTACCAGAGATATTTGCTAGTTGATTACTTACCGCATCCAATAATTGCTATACGCAAAAACACAAAATGTAAAGTTGAACTAGCGCTCCTATCATATACGAGAGAACTGACATCGTTTCCCAGAACGTTGTCTAAATTTTTTTAAAAGTCGATATATCGTCGATACAATATAAAATTCACTATGGAAAGTCTAACTGTCTTTGTGATGTCTGGAAAAAATTTCTACAATGATTAGTGTTAGTAATTGTTATACTTACGTTAGTCATCATAACACTCAAAGAGCAGAATCGCATTACACTGTTCAGGTATATTAAACATAATTCTAGAGACAATAGCTCTTTCAACAACGACGTTGCGCTGAAAGAAACGGTAGGGAAAAGTCACAGCAAAAGAAACAGATTCTCAAGAATTATACGCACATCATACATCTCCGTATCTCGAATTCACAAGTTATATACGTAAACATTGTTTTGCTCATTTTAAATTACACTTTATTAAGGAATGCGATTTCAATACCTCTTTTAGAGATAACGATGAAGAACATATCACGCAAACAAACGCTGAAACTTACTGGATTAAAGTGCGGTGATGCTGACATAACGCCTTCAATTGTCCTGTCCTCCATCTCGAAAACTCGTATATAACGTATTTATATGAAAGCGATTGTAAAGATGTGGATAAAAAAAGGCATGTAAAAAAAGCTCTCTAAAAAAAGGTATGTAAGAGATTTAATTGTTGCCGCTTTTCCGCGATGTTGATTGGTTCCCTCGCTTAGCTCACTTCATGTGGACTTGCTTCGTGTCGTTTGCGCCTGTCAAATTACCAGGCAAATAGCTGACATTGCGTTTGTTAGGTCACGAAAAAAAATATAGAAGAGATATGTCTCTCCCTGTCTCTCCCTGCCTTTTCTGTCTCTTCCTGTCTCTCTCTGTCTCTCCCTGTCTTTCCTGTCTCTCCCTGCCTCTCCCTGTCTCTCCCTGCCTTTTCTGTCTCTTCCTGTCTCTCTCTGTCTCTCCCTGTCTTTCCTGTCTCTCCCTGCCTCTCCCTGTCTCTCCCTGCCTTTTCTGTCTCTTCCTGTCTCTCTCTGTCTCTCCCTGTCTTTCCTGTCTCTCCCTGCCTCTCCCTGTCTCTCCCTGCCTTTTCTGTCTCTTCCTGTCTCTCTCTGTCTCTCCCTGCCTCTCCTGTCTCCCTGCCTCTCCCTGTCTCTCCCTGTCTGTCTCTCTCTTTCCCTATCTCTCGCCGTCTCTCCCTGTCTCTCCTTGTCATTCCCCGTCTCTCCTCGTCTCTCCCCGTTTCTCCTCGTTTCTCCCTGTCTCTCTCTATCTCTCTCTGTTTCTCCCTGTCTCTCCCTATAATTATTAATTAATTAAATAATTATTTTAATTTAATTTAATTTAAATTTTTTATTTAAATTTAAATTTAAATTTTAGTTTTTTTTTTAATTTTATTGGCTACATATTGGGTATGTGGATAATAGCACATTGTTACAAGTCGATACCGTGTCGGTTTTTCAATTCAAACTTTTGTGCGAGTACAATCAAAAGGACGTTATTATTCCGTAAGCGAAGTTTCTTTGAATCTTCGAGATCACGCGGTGCGACGATAAATTGGTATATTTGGTGACCGACATCGAGGGCGGAGTGTTAACCGACTCAGATTCGTCTAACATTCACTGGCATTCTCGAACACCGAGTTCATTTCGCTGACCACGCTGACTGGAACAGCCGGTTTCCCGGTCGATTCTCCGTTCGGATAGTCGAAGCATTCTCACCGTCGAAGCATTCCTCCGCTCAACATTTGTGATTTTTCGACGAACGGTTAAAATCTTGTTCCGGGAATTAAATCGACATAATTAAAAATTGTTCAGCTGATATACGAGTCACCTGATTTTCTTGCGTTGCAAACTAACGATATCCATCCAGCTGATTTTCTTTCTTTGCTCATGTTTTCCTTTGTATATATCATAATCCGGTTTTTCTCTTAACAATCCAGGTCACCTTCGCGTTATCCCAGAACGGTCCCGGCGTATCGATTTACGATCGACACAATCTCGATCGAGCGCAAACAGTTTGATTCCGACGTTTCGCGAACAATTCAATCCGCTTCATCAGGGAGGAACGACCGATCGGGTCGTTCATGAAATGAACGATCAAGTCGACTGAAACGTCGGAATCAAACAAAGATGAATCGTGGCTCAAACCCAGAAATCAAATCTAATAATTTAAAAATAAGACTGCAAAAAACACTATGACCATTATCTTTATTGTTTCTTCAGGCTGTCAAAATGTAAACATTGATACATGCTATAAATTGTATCACGAGCACTAATATTTTTATTTAATTGCTGACTTTTATCTAATCTTATGTTCTAGGTATCACATAAGTATCACATTTTTACTACAACAGGAATCACGAATTTTACTAGATTAAGAGCCAGTTCCACCAACGTCCTCAAACGCCTATTAAATCTTAATCCGAGTTTAACTCTTTTTGTCTGAAGACAATTTAAACTCAGGTTAAGACTTAATTGCCGTTTGTGAAACTGGTCCGCGAGATTAACATGTCGATTAACTATGTCGATTAACATTATTACTTCAGTAAGTAACAACTATAATTACCGTGCGATGTTCATTCTTTACTTGAACCTTAGAAACAGAAGGGCGACCGTATATGATTGATTTAGAATCTAGAAAAGATCGTATGGTAAGAGATTTGGCAAACGAAACTTGTGAGGTGTAATGCCACCGAACTAAAATAGACGGCACATAAAATCTCACCGTCATGAACGAAGATAGAGAAAGATTGAAATTTTCGAACATTGCGACTTTACATTCCAAACTGTTGGCTATAATTAGCAACACAAATATACTCTTTAGCATTGATCCGGACAAATACCATTCACGATGAAACGCTTTATCCGTCACTTGCGTACTCTGTAATGCGCACAAAAGGGACGGATGACAAAGGAGGATTATTAATCAGAGATTTGCTAGTTAATTGCTTACAGCATCCAATAATTGCTGCACGCAAGAGCACAAAATGTAAAGTTGAACTAGGGCTCCTATCGCATACATGACAACTGACATCCTTTCCCAGGACGTTGTCTAAATTTTTGCAAAAGTATATCGTCGATACAATATTAAATTCATTATATGGAAGGCAGTTACTGTCACTGCGTTGTCTGGAAAGAATTTCTACAACGATTAACGTTGATAGTTATTATACTCACAATACTGATCATAACAGCCATAGAGCAGAATCGCATTACGCTGTTCAGGTATATCAAACTGAAGTTCAGCGACAACAGCTCTTTCAACAATGATGTTATACTACAAGACACGTATGTACACGGTAGAAAGAAGTTAAAGCAAGAAAGAAATAGATTTTGGGAAATTATATGCATAATATTCACCTCTGTACCTTGGATTCATGATTTATATACATAAATATTAATTTACTCATTTTAAATTATCCTTTACCGAGATATTTGATTAAAATACTCGCCGTAAAAATGGCTGTGAAGTATGTATCGCGTAAATGAACCCGGGAAACTTACTGAATTAAAGCGTTGTGATGCCGACACAACGTCTTCATCTGCCTTGTCTTCCGTTCTAAAGAGTCAATTTTCCAAGTCTTATCGTGTTCGTCCTCGTTCCGTTCTTGAAATAACATCGCGATCTTCACCGCGATATATCGATACTGCGCAGTTATCAGCATCACTATATGCACCATGTACACGTCCGTGCCGACCTTCTTTATAAACATATACACGGAGCAGATCCATAGAACGATGTTTCCCAAGAGAAATTTTCTGGGCGACAGCGGTTGATTGAAGAAAGCGGCAGGCAACCTGTAATCCTCGTAGTAGAAAACATCTTTCCCGAATAACAACCAAAGCGGTAAACAGCTCCACACTGAAACCGATATCATGCCTGCGATCCAATACAACATAAGCGGAGTCTCTACCGACTTCACGGTTGTCATCACGACGTTCTTCATAGTATCATCCGCGGCGCTCAAAATGTTGTTTATACGGCGGATCAATCGACCCATCAAATCTCTACGGGCTTGGATTCGCGCGACTATGACAAATGTCTCCGCGCTGATCACGTAACAGACAAGTCCGTCTTTCAAAAACTTCTCCGTCGACACGTACATGCTGCCGGGAACTAACGCGATCAATAGGACTATCTGAAGCAACCACATCAACACGCTGTACACACGCCAAAGTATCGGAAAAGACGTATCGTTGGCAGTCATCGGTAGTAGATTGCCCGAGATCATGTTCAGTCGAATATTCAAAGGATTCACGCTTTGGAAGTCCATAGTCGGCTTCTGAGTCTTCAGAGACCCTCTCATGACGAATCGGAATTACACGGCGATCTGTACTCGTTGTTTTATACCTCCGTTTTACATCACCTTCATCGCGCTGTATGTATTTCGCGCGAAAATGACTCTTCTTCGCTGAGAAAGACACGCGCAGCTCCTACTTGCTATTTAGAAATAAGTAGAGGATCACCGTCTAGCTTTACACATTACTTTGAAGACGAGTATTTGTCATCATACTTCCTTTGCTGTAATTATGAAAAGAACTACGGATACAATTATTCTGAGAGGTTTGTTGCATTTTGCATACAATAATTGATATACGATGTATCTCAGGGATAAATAATGAACGGTTCTCTCTTCCACTACTAAAGGTAGAAATTTGGAAGGAAATGTTGTACGCGGGTGAGGGACCGAATGATGAGTCGTTAATTGCAGGAATTCATTTTTCATTCTGTTTACTACACGCGAGTAGATGGTATCATTGATTTCTATATAATTATCCGTGTGCTACCAAGTGACGATTATCTTATAGTTGACTTCGTTGGCTGTCGCGCGACTGCGTATTGCAAAGTAGTCGCATGTTAAACGTATGCTGCGAAAAACGGCATACTTATTATTGTGAACTACAAGGAATTCGTTTCTCGAATTTATTCGTGTACGAATATGTCTTCAGAATATTTGACAGATAATCGTGAATCAATGTATAGAGAAACTAATCAGTTAAAAAAAACGTATTTATATGAAAGCGATTATAAAGATGTGGAGCGCAGCAAAGCTGTAATAATAATATTTGAATCAAGACCATAATTTTTTCATAAAACTGATAAATAATACGTGTCTTAATTGATGTACTCGTTCATAATAATTTAAGACTTAGACTGCAAAAAAACATTATGACCATTATCTTTATTGTTTCTTCAGGCCGTCAAAATGTAGAGTAAGCATTGATACATAGACATGCTATAAATTGTATCACGAGCACTAATATTTTTATTTAATTGCCGACTTTTATCTAATCTTTTTATGCTCTATAGATATAACGTTTTTACTACAACAGAAATCACTAATTTTACTAGATTAAGAGCCAATTCCACCAACGTCCTCAAACGCTTATTAAATCTTAATCTGAGTTTAAGACGCTGCTATTTCTGGGGCGGCCATATTGGTTTGATGACGTTAGAAGCGAGAAATGACATACTGAAAATCTCTTACATTTTATTGCTTTATTTTTTACTTTTCCTTGAAGAACCAAATATCGAATCTTCATTGAGCTCGTCTGGAAATATAATTATTTTTATAACAGCATAATAAATTACGTTCATTTGTTTATTGATTTTTATCATTGAAGAGTGCGATGAACATTGCGTAGCTGTAACTATAATAATTAGAGAACTATAACAATTAGAGAAAAAGTTGACATGTAGGTGATGTATTTTTACCTCACTTCCTTCAATTCTACTTACTGAACTATAGTGTTGTGACGTCGACACAAGTTTCTTATTTCTGTCTCCGCCCACGAATCCGCGTCTGAGTATCCTTTTGGAGACTTTACGCGTTGATTTCTGTGTACCTTCCCGAAATATTTTCGTGAGTCTCGTCGACACGTAGCGATACTGTGCCGTCACTAGGAGCACGAGATTTATCATGTAAACGTCCATGGCAATTTTCTTTGTGAATATACACATGCTAGAGACGGCCACGATCAAGTTCTCCGCTAGGAAGACGTCCAACGAAAAGGGCTGCTTCGAAAGGGTCACCGGCATTCTGTAATCCTCGTAGAAGAAGTGTCGCTTCCTCAAGACAGGCATTATCGAGATACAGGACCACATCGTTGTGGCTACACATCCGGATATCCAGTAAAACTTTAACGGAGTTTGCACCGGCTTCAAAATCGACCTCACGATGCTCTCCATAATGTGATCTCGCTCGCTCAGGAAGTCGTTCAGCTTCCGAATCAGTCTGCTCACGAGATCCCTGTGTGCATGCATTCGCGCGAACAAGAAGAACGCCTCCGCGCTGACGACGGCTCCGACCGTCACATCCTTGAAGAACTTCTCTTTCGACACGTACATAACCGTCGGAATGGTCGCGCTGATATGCACTATCTCGATCAACCACACGACGGTACTGTATACTCTCCACGCTGTGAGAAACTGCGGATCGTCGCCTGTCATCGGCGGCAGATTGCCCGAGAGCTCGTTCAGTTGGGCGTTCAAGGGGTTCACGTTTTGGAAGTCCATGCTTTCGGTGACGGGAAACGAAAGTTACACTTTCGCCTGAACCATGAACTTGCCGACTTGATTCCCTCCTGATCTGATTCCTTCTTTAATTTGAAAAGAGATTTAACCGATTAAAAATTCAACGATTCTGTCAAACAGTCCTGTAAGGAATATGTATCCGTCTATATGTATCGTTCACATCCGCGCACGCGGTCGTGCAGCTCGACATTTTCAGCACTACTTGTCCCGTTCAAAGGGATACACGTGAGGCTTTCGGTTGAAATTAAAAAGCTTCGCAGGCGATCAATCTAACTCGAGCAGTATATTACTTTTCTCGAGATCTCCCGCTTCTTCTTCATTTACGCTAATATAATATGCCCTCGCGTGGGACGGACGGTGATATTTCGCTTTCCCCTTGTCGCAATTACTAATGTTCTATGATTATTATACAACCGCATGACAGTTTAATGATAATCTATATTGTAATCTATATTGCATATCTCGAAGTGCATGATAGTTCGAGGAGGTCTCGCGATCGTGCATCACGAGAAAGTAGAGGAATTTGCGAGTAATTTTAAGGAATACATCTCCATGTTTATTCTGGTTACGGCGCAGACAGAATTATAAATTTCGTCTATACGCAACGATTATTTTATGGTTTCCCTGTTCTTCTCGTTTGAGATGTTGCACGGTCTCGAATTCGGTAGAAGTTGCGATACATGGCATTGCCAGATGCGCGTCGGTATGAACAAGCTGCGAAATTTTTGGATCAGGTAAATATTATGCTGACTGACAGCTTGAGATTTTGAATTAAAATTCTTTTTCGTTTCCAGCACATACGAGGGTGGTCTGAAAAGTTTCCGACCTAACAAAGATACAAGTCATTTTTTCTGAAAATTGTTTTTTATTTTTCAACATAGTCTCCTTGTAAATCTACACACTTCTCCCAGCGATGCTCCCATCTCTGTAACCCGTCGAAATAGTACTCGGCGTTTTTCTCTGCAAAATAATTGTTCACGAAGGTGATTGCCTCTTCATTTGACGAAAATCTCTGTCCTCCGAGCGCAATTTTTAGATGAGGGAACAAAAAGAAGTCGCTTGGGGCTAGATCTGGTGAGTAAGGTGGATGGTCAAGCAGTTCAAACCGTAATTCGTGGATTTTCGCCATGG